AGTGTCGGTCTCTCACTTGCTGACCCCGCCGTATAGCACACTCCGCGCTAGTCTACTTCCCAGCAGGGTAAATATAGTCATTTTAGTATATTCGAATTGGATATCCACCTTGTCTGATACTTCTGTAGAACTTATGTAGTGTCGTCGCCTATTATCGCCTATTACTACACAGCGATCATCGGAGACGCCAGGAATCCCCCAACCGTAATCGCCAGTTCGAACTTCAGTGGTATTGCCGTTTTTGGTACGTATACTTCCAACCTCTTAAGAAAAGTTAAAAGTTGCTAATGTACTCATAGACGCGGACCCATACGACGCTGACGGTGCCAACTGGTATGTAAACCAGGACAACTTGTGAGTACATATATGGGCTTTCAGTTACTTATGTCGCTCTAACGGTTTCGTGGATGATCTAGCTATCGCTCCATACGGAACTTCGTGATCGACCTCACTGAAATGCCTGCATCTGCTACGGCCACTGGTATCCACTGGCAGGTTTCGCAATCGACATCACTTGTCAACATCGTAGTTGATATGTCGACTGCAGCGGGGAATAACCACAGGGGTAAATACGATTAGTTCTATTAAAGTAGATACTGATCAGTTTGTGGTGAAGGTCTTTTCATGGAAGATGGAAGGTGAGCGTACTCTGAACTCTGATGGCGTCTGCATATGACTGAAGGCCATGTCAAAAGTGGTGGGTTTATGGGAGGTACGTTGTGGCTTAGGAATGACAGGGGTAAACTAACATAGTCACCAGATCTCGTATTTAATGGGGGCGCCTACGGTATATGGGTTGGAAATCAGCAGTAGGTAGCACTGATCATATTTTCTCTTCAGCTTTCTGAATCTCAAATTTCAGGTTCACAGTACGCAATCTCACCGTGAACAATGCAAATGCTGGTATGTGGGATTACGCTCCCAACAAATAACCCACGGTCTCTAACATATCGCACAGCGGCCATTTACGGATTGTGGAATTGGGGTATATATTCTGGACCGTGAGATAGTTCCACAGGAGTACTTACTCTTTTTGTAGGATGGACTTACCAAGGCGTTACGATCAATAACTGTACAATTGGTTTCGAGCTGTTAACCGGCGGTCTCTCGAATGCTGACCAGGTTTGTCTTTGCGTTGCATCCAGTTTTCGTTGATTAATTTCCACTTCCAAAGACCGTTGGAGCAGAAGCCATCATTGATGCCGTTGTTACAGACACCCCGATATTTGTCCAGTCATCAGAAGCTAGCAACGGCACCCTGGCCGGGTCCCTTGTACTCAATAATATCCAACTCAACAATGTTCCCACCGCCGTCGGAGTCGCTAATGGTGATGTCGTCCTGGCTGGAGGTACTATGACGATTGCATCATGGGGCCAAGGCGACGTTTACTCTGGAACAGACCCCAATGGGAACTTCGAGCAAGGTAACATTTATGCTGCATATAAGGACCCAAGCTTGCTCGACAGTGCCGGAAGGATATTCGGGAAAGCCCATCCACAATACTTCGATTATGCTGTTGACCAATTCATAACCGTCAAATCCCAAGGTGCTGTTGGTGATGGGGTAACTGACGATACGGATGCCATTAACGCGGTGCTCAGCAAGGTTTGTCATATGATTTTTGTTCGCCTGCCTTGCTGACTTCCTCTTAGTACGCTGGTTGTTACATCATCTTCTTTGATGCCGGTGTGTACAAAGTGACGTCAACCATCAACGTCCCAGCGGGCAGTCAAATCGTTGGAGAGGCATGGACTGTTATCATGGGCAGTGGCTCTAATTTCGCAGACCAAACCAACCCCCAAGTTGTCGTCCAAGTCGGCGCTGAGGGTTCTGAAGGCGTCGCTGAAATCACAGATTTCGTCTTTACGACTCAAGGCCCTACACCAGGAGCCATAGTTATTGAATGGAACATCCATGAGCCGTCCGGTGAGCAGGGTGCATGTGGAATGTGGGATAGTCACATCAGGTGCGTACGAAACCACGTTACTGAAAGAGTGTGTAGATTCTAACTAAATGTATTTAGACTTGGTGGAGGTACGCTTGTTCGTAAGCTCGTCGGATTCATATGTGCTAACGTTCACCAGCTGTGGGAACAAATCTGGAGACTGCTCAATGCCCTTCAGGCTCAGATAACACCCAGTGTTTTGCCTCATTCCTTGCCATACATTTGACTTCCGGGTCTACAGCTTATCTCGAAGTATGGACTTCCTTCCTCATTGTAGCTAGCAACTCAATCTTGTTTCATAGGGAACTTGGGTTTGGCTAGCTGATCATGATCTCGATGGAGATGGCACTTCCCAATTGACCATTTTCAGCGGACGGGGAATTCTTTCCGAATCCGCAGGGCCTGTTTGGATGATCGGTACATGTGAGTCTCAACGTAGTATGATTTTCCTGAAAATGCTTTTCTTACTAGACTTTGTTTCGCAGCTTGTAAGTCTGATTCTAGAACGGCCAGAAAGTCATTGTCTTAGGCTTACATCGTCACAGCTGAACATCACGCTCTATACCAGTACAACTTAGCAGGTGCTAGCAACCATTACATGGGATTGATTCAAACTGAGACAGTGAGTGGTTTATTTCAATATCCAAAAGGCAGGATATGAAGGGTTATCCAGCCGTATTATCAACCGGATCCTGCACCCCCCACCCCTTTCAGCATCAACAGTGCCTATAATGATCCCACGTTTGACAACGGTATGAATATGGCTTGGGCTGTCTGGGTTGAATCGTCTCAGAACGTCATAATATTTGGTATGTGTTTGTTCTATTGAGTAGTCAAACTCAGTTCACTCAAGCGCTCGAATTTGATTAGGAGCTGGGCATTACAGCTTCTTCCAGGTGAGACATGATTCACTCGATAATTTATTCGTATACATGCTCATGTCCCTTAATCGTCCAGAATTACAGTCAAACTTGCTTAACTAACAATACTTGCAACCCACAAATCGTCAACACTGACTCGACCTCTTCAGTTGCCATCTACAGCTTGTCGACTGTTGGTTCTACATACCAGTTGAGTGTCAACCAGGATGGCATAATCAATTGGGCCGACAACGTTGATGGCTTTGCATCGACCGTGACTGTTTGGAGTCCGACGTCATGAACTAGAGATCATCACGATGACCATAATTTGAACACATTTAAGATGTAGCTTTCATGGCACTGCGTCGGTAAATATAGATTACTGTCAGCTGATGGTACTCAAGCATGTATTTATAAAATATATCAAAGCAGCTTTGCATGAGCACACTGTGAACACTACCTGAAGTATTCGTGAAAAATATCAAGTCCAGTAGAAATTAGCAAGTTATATTTTAGGTTTTCTACAAGTCAGGGCTTATCCATAAGAGTCAAAAGTACTAATGTGTTGTTGATCCATCCCTCCCATTGAATGGCTTCTTGTTTTTCCATATGGGTAGCAACCGGATGTAGAAATTATAAAGCAAACATTTGGAGTGTTGCCCAAAGTTTTTACCTTATAAATCCAGCCACTTCTGGCTATTTCATGCTTTTCAAATGGTATTCACTTTTGTTTGGTATATAAGAAGCACTGTGCATGCATTTTGCAGCAGTTGTTTGCCAAATAATCCTTCTTACATGCCTGTTCCTGCACTCTGAGGGTCTTGAACACTGGATATATAATTGCAGATGCACCAGGAAGGACACAATCGAGCCATAGCCACCGGATAAATTGCCTGATGCTGTAGTATCACAGTAGTACCACATAGGCACTGATGAGCTGGCAATAGTGAATATTTCTAGTGAATGAAAAGAAAGACTAATGGTATAATTAGTATTGTGTTGTTTTTACTTGAGGCAGCTCTAGCATAGGCAAACAGTTACATAATCCTGTGTTAGAATTCAGCTACACAGCATGTTGCCACCTCAGTTCTCAAGTATTCAGACTGAGGTGAGCAACATGTTTGTTCTTCTACTACATACAATTTTACTTACAGTCTATTAGTCTTCTGTTCATCAGAATTATATATGGTGTATCTGTAACAACCAAGAGTTTGTTACTCCGGCGCACAACTCAGACAAGCTATAGAGAGGATGATGAGGGAGTGGTTACCCTTTAAGCTTCAACAAGTTAGTTGTGAGGATACAACAGGAGGACTCGCTGAGGAGTCTCCTTGATCTATTGAGGTATATATACTAATACAGAGTGTTTGTACTTATGTACTGTACAGTTGATCAAAGCAGTGGCTGATGATGTCAGAGGGCGCAGCCCGTGTGACCAGCTCCACTGCGTGAGAGACTTGTAGCTAAAATAAGAATGAAGGCAGTGTAGTGCGAGAAGGTGGAGTTTGAACAAAATGGAAAGTGCCGCATGGCACAGTGTGTGAAAACTACAGTATAAAGTTCAAGAGGAGAATGAAAAATAAAAGTCCCAAAATTGTGTATCGTAACAGTATCTCTAGGTATGGTAATACTAATCCTACCTCAGTCTTGTAAATAGAGACTGAGGTTAAAATAGTAATGAATGGATTGCTAAGTATGAGTTGAAGAAATTCCAAAATCCAAAGTCCAAATTAGAAAGGAGTTTTGCATACATCAAGAAGAATGTGTTGTTGATGATGAGAAATGCTGTTAGAAAACCACACACAAAAAACAATCTAACAAACAATCCTCCCAGATTCCACAGAACTTGTTTATGGGCTTTGCCTCCTAGAACAGTGGAGTGGTCTGGTTGTTCATAGGGTGGTACATATAATGATCCTTCAAAGTAAAATCCAGAAATGTATGAGTGTGGGTTTTGAGGGGGAGGGATAGTTGGAAGATAGAAGATAGGGGCTTTGGGATGAGTATAGACAAGAACTACCTTGCTAATTGTAGCACAAGGTAGGTTTGAGAATGACACGGTGATGAGGTTCCAAGTAATATCAGGCTCCTGACACACAGACTGTAGTGCTCAGAAGGACTCTAATTGAAAGGGATAACAATGACTTCAAAAGTGATGAGTGACAATGACAGCAGTTAACAGTAGTAGCAGTGGGAAGTATTGTGACCACACTGGATCACAAATAGCAGTGAACAGTAGACTTGAGATTAAAGAAGAATTCTGGATTGGATTTTATTCATTTTACAAGGTAGAATACAGGGGTTTATATAGTAAAAGAAAGGAAGGCTATGCACAGCATAGCTATGCAAAAAGAATGAGAAAGCATATGAAGGAAGGAATATATGCTGACAAATCCTGCATAGGTAGTACAGAATAAGATTGTCAAAATAAGGAAAAGAAAGGGATAGAACAACAAATGTTATGTAAGTAATGTAACAGGTTTGTACAGCCATAAAATAAATTCCAATAGCAGAAAGAATGCAAGAAAATCATGATCTCATGGGAAGATGCAGTCAAAAAAAGCGAGGCAAGGGTAATATCAATATCAACGCAGTTCCTTTGTTGTCAGTCAGGCATTCTAAAAAATGTGTCCATAAAAATGATTCAAAAATCAAGAATAATTGCACTGCAAATAAATGTTCTGCCAAAAAAAAAAAACTGGAGCAACCAGTCCACCACCCAGTCCAAATCCAACAGTTCCATGGCTTTACCAATGGTCTGGTTGCAGTGGACCACCTGAGGCGGAGGGGCAAGGAAGACAAGTAGGAGTGAAGGGGTGACAAAAAAGTGGATTAAGATAGAGATCCAGAAACGGCCATCTGGTGAGAATAGAAAAGACAGTAAAGGGCCCATGGTGGGGCTAAGTAGGGTAAGGAAAAACAATGAAAGCAAGGGTGCAAAGTGTAGCCAGTGGCGACACAAAAATCTGCTGAAATGCTAAAACACAGAAAGTACCAAATGGAAAGTGAGTGCAACTTGATTGCCTAATACAGGTGGGTGCTGATTAGCCACAAGTTTAAAAAAAACAACTGTGCCTGTGTGGTGTGAAGGCAAGTCTTTTGAATATTTGCTTCATTATTGACACCTGCCTATGCTACCAATCAACTTTGGTGCATGACAGCATGTAAAGTGGAATAGAGTTTGATGGTTGTAGTTCATAGTCATACTCTTATTTACCTCAACAGGCACTATAGCAACTGACACTCAGAGCTTTGGCTACAGAGCACTATGTGTGAGGAATCAATTTTTCTCATTGCATTCCCATCATGTCATGGTTATCCGACTCATTCCCTGTCACTCCTCTCACCCTTGGACTAGAGATTACAGCTGGTATCTTACTACTCTTATTTTTTTTCTTCTTATTTTCCATTCACACTCATATTTTATTATACTTACAACAAAGGAGAACCATTGTAGACCCACGAGAAGATATCCAGATGACATAGCGATAATCTAATGCTATGTTCGGGAATACTTCGGAGGAATATAGATAAGCAAGGTAGGCTATGAATCAGCGCCTTCTCATGGGCTTACTGATACAGCCAATCGTACACCTCTTACCAATACTCTTTCTCACACAATTAGTAAATACAATAGATCGGACCACTTTCTCTTTCTTTTCTTATTGGTTAGTTTGCTAGTCTGACCATTGCTGTTCACTATATAAGGAGTACATACTCAATGTATTATTTCCTTAGTTCAATATTAGTTTGGATTTGCGCTTATACCAATACTCTTCAACCTCAGTATGTGAGGAATCGATTTTTCTTATCGCATTCCCGTCATGTCGTGGTTAGCAGACTCAATCCCCGTCACTCCTCTTGCCCTTGGACTAGAGATTACAGCAGGTGTCTTATTACTTTTATCATTTTTCTTCTTATTCTCTCTTCACACTCACGTTCTATCATACCTACAACGAGGTAGACTCGTTGTCGACCCTCGAGAAGATATCCAGATGACATAGTCACGATCCAGTGCTATGTCTGGGGATACTTCGGAGGAATATTGATAAGCGAAGAAGGTTGTGAGTCAGCGCCTTCTCATGGGCTTACTGATACAGCCAATCGTACATCCCTTACCAATACACTTTCTCGTACGATTAGTAAAGACGATAGATCGGACCACTTTCTTCTTTCTTTTCTTATTGGTTAGCTAGCTGGTCAGACCACTTTCTCAGTACTTCCCTTTCTCGGTCTGACCATCGTCGTTCACTATATAGAGAAGTACATACTTGATGTATTGTTCTCCAGTTCAATATTAGTTTGGATTTGCGCTCTTACCGATACTCTTCATTCTCATACTCTGATTCACCGCCTTCAAGGAAGGACTTGACCAGACATTGGGCTTTGTTATATAGCTTCGTATTTGTTGCCTGACAAAATATTGAACTCACCTACCTCGAATCCTTTTCCAGAGCCCCTCTTTGGAAAACCGTTTCCCTACACCCTGAAAAAGACTGTCGTTGCCACTGCACCGGTCTAAACCTTCATCATCACCTTCTCCACCTCTCTACCATCCCTATCCCTCTCCTCACTATCGTCATCAACCTCTCACTATCCACCCTATTACACCTATTGTCGTTCAGTCTTCTCAAACTGGACGCCTTCTCTACCATCACCGCTCTCGTCCAATTCTTTGCGTTCTTTGCCATCATCAGATATCTACAAACCGGACTCGTCAGCGACGTCGTATACCTCCATCGTGTCTACCTCCCAACAGCTCTCAGAAGAGTGGGTATCAGAAGCGGACCGCAGACACCAGAGAGATTTCCTCGCAACTCTCAACAAACAGCTCCCGGTCCTCCCCGTCCCTACCGAAGCCCGTACTCCAGACGAGGAAGGAACGATCGAACAGATCACTGAGTTGTATCAAGACTCCTCTGCTTCGTCTTCACCAATTGATCCGATCGAGGATATCATCCTCGACATAAACGACGCACTCGCTCTCACCCAATCCATTTTTTACCATTCCGCCATCTGTAGGAGAAATTCTCGCAGTCTCGAGGAGATACTCCAACATCTCCGACAGAGCACGGAGAGAACTTTTAATCTTCATATCCCTGCGGCACGAACAAATTCCGTTGATAGACTACTTCGAAAGCCTAGTACGCCCGAGTTACGAGAACACTCAGAGGGTTAAACTTTTGAAAGGAATAGCCAACGTACAAGAACGAAACCTGCAACTTATTTCGCAGAGCCACATCCCAGATCTTCTCGATCTTTATCGAATCCGCCCTCTCATTTTTCCAGACATACCCAGCCGCCTCCTCCCTTACGATTTCGAACACACCTTGCTTTGTGGCATTGTGTTAAGGAAGAGGCCTAACGAGGAACCTACCTACGATATCCCGTCCTCATTTTTTACATCTGACTACTACGACACCTACTCCGCCTCTCCTGTCAGTTACCAACCCATCCAGTACTTCTGCATCGGCAATCATCTAGACCACCTTTCTATTGTCCAATATCTGACACGACTTCGCCGAACTCTCTACCTCCCTGAAGTCCACGATCTTGACGCATTCGGGCCGCGGTTTGGTCTTCAACACAGCACTTCCATTATCATTGTCACGCCCTCTACTAAAGATCATATTCGACGAGTTGTTGCTGCGTTAGCACGATTTGATCAGCTCATCGCAACTGCTCAGAGGAAATCCCGTGACGGAGAAGACTACACGACCGAAATCGACAACATTCGACACGTTTCAGAATACGTCGACGAATATTACTGGATCCTGGAAATCCTCACTCCATTCGTTGTTAACCAACAATCTGATCACCCCGAACGTTTCATTGTTACAGTACTCCAAAGCGATTTCTGGGCCGTTATCAACCATAGCTCACGAACTCGTATCTATTCGCAATACTCTTACACCTACCAAGGTCGGAGAGGAGAAGCACCGCTCATCCCGTCGGTTGAACAACTTTTTGCACCTTGCGCAGAAAGGATAGAACGAGAAACAGGAAGTTCATTAACAGATATACTTGGAGGAGAATCTAGCAGCGAAACCGAGTCGGAAAGTGAAGAGTCTACTCAAAGCGTAGAATACTGGAGACCCCGAGAAGCAGAAGGAGGAGACTTCCCTAGTAATTTTACGTTTGACCCAGACTTTGAGTAAATAAAAAGGACCAGTTATCTAGAAAGACTTGTTATCTAAACCCGTTATCTAACCCGTTGAAAATCTGGAGCCCTATCGAGAACCCCGTCCTCTGGTCACTCCCGACACACCTCCCCCACAATCTCTAGGAGCTGCGGCTGAAGCTCTAGAACCAGACGATCTGTATCAATCAGCAGGACCAGAAAACTTTCCTCCCCCACCTCCAACTCCAGAACCCGAAAACCAACCTGACGATTGGTTCGATCAGGAATCTTTGGACCTTGAACCTGATCTAGCAGCAGCAATGGCCGACGAAACAAATCAAGGAAGTAAAGCTGTCCTTGCCACTCCTCCATTCGAATTCATCGGTAAAAAGGAAACATACGTTGACTGGAAGAACGCTTTAGCAAACTACTTTTTCGCCTATCCCAGAAGTTTCCAAACCAACTCCTCCAAAATCCTCTTTGCACTATCCCGGATCTCGTCCGATAAAGCCAATGACGCCTGTCATACATGGAAGGCGAATTTCAACAACAAAACTGCAGTGCTAGGAGACCTATTTGCACCGCGGAATTGGGGAACTATCTCAGAATTCATCAAGGAGTTAGATAACGAATTCTTGGACCCCCATCTCAAGTTGAAAGCAGAGATTGCCCTTCACGATTACGAACAGCGAGAGATGACGGTAGACGCATATTTTGGAGGACTCGAATCCAAACTCATGGAAGCGGGATTACCACCAGACGCAGATGAAAGTTATCCGTTCATTCACAGTATCCTTCGCCGCAACCTCTCTCAATTCCTTCGTGATCGTATCTCGCAACAGGAAAACCTACCCACCACGTACTTAGAGTGGAAGACAGCAGCAAGGAAATGGGAACAGCGAAATGAAGAGCTTAATCTGGAAAGGAAGAGAGATAAACCACCTCAACAGAGGCTGCCAATTCAGTACCAACGATATCAACCACGCTATCAGCAGAACCAACACTATCCTCCGCCACAGCATCGACAGACAGTACCGCGAACAGAGACGCGAAGACCACAGTATATCCAACAGCGACCGTATTATACTCCGTCTCATAGACCACCGCCCCAGAATGCAGTCCATCCAAACACAGCAGGAACGTTTGGAGGATCAGGTGTACCTATGGAGATTGGGAGTTCCAACACACAGAGACAACATCGGCCCAACCCGAATGTTACTTGTTACAACTGTGGCGAACGAGGCCACATTGCTAGAAATTGCCCACATGGAAAGATGGCAATACGATATATGGAAACGGAGGAAACCAAAGACACTCCCACTACATCGTCATTAAAAGAAATTGAAGCACCCCCGAAGGATTTTCAGAAAGGTCAGGAGTAAGCACGGACTCTCTGACCCGAAACATTGTATTTAACCCTCGTACATTACCAACGACTGCAATGAAACGAGTTGATCAACATCTACGTGCTGTAACCGAAACCTACGCGAAGCCACATTCACCGGAATGGTTGGCCAGACGAATCAAAGACCAGAAGCCAGAAAGAGCAAGAGCTCTGTTACGAAACTGGGCCCATAAAGATCACTACGAGCATATCACCCTGCAGGCGATACAGATGCTAAAGAACCACGACGAAGAGAACATTATAGAACGCATCCATGCTTACACCTCGTCGCACAACCCTACGACAAAACGAAGCCTCCACGTCATTTCTCAAGTCACTACCATAGACGACAGACAGACATTCACCGTCCCAACCCTTATCGACTCTGGTTGCACTAACTCGGTTATCAATCGAAGCCTGGTTGACAAGTATACCCTCAATACTACGCCTCTGCCCGTCCCTCTTGACGCTGCAGGAGCCGATGGTCGATCCCAGAAAGTAACACACTATATCACTCTTCACATCAATGTGAAAGGGAAAGAACATTTGATAGATGTCATCGTAGCATCTCTACTTTCACCACGCATACTGCTTGGATACGACTGGTTGATACTGACAAATCCAACAATTGATTGGCGGACCAACAAGATTACCTTCCCTGCTGATGATCCGGAGTATCATCCTGAAGAAGGGGATAAAGTTCTAGCCGTCGATCTTGAAACACAAATTATGGAGATAACACAGCTAGAATTGAACGCATTTGCCACTAAAAGTCAACAAATCGCCGAATCCTCCGAAAAGGCAAAGTCAAAGCTTACTTTCCGAGATGTCGTTCCTCCAATCTACCATGAATTCGAACCCGTCTTCACCAAAGAATCATTTGACAAACTTCCCCCGAAACGTCCTTGGGACCATGCAATTGAGTTAATACCCGAGGCTAATGGTCTTGACTGCAAAACGTACCCTCTTAGCCGAGACGAACAACACCATCTAGACGAATTCCTTAACGAAAATCTAACAAGTGGACGGATTCGAGTATCCAAATCACCTTACGCATCGCCATTTTTCTTTATCAAAAAGAAAGATGGCTCACTACGCCCTGTCCAAGATTATCGCAAGCTGAATGAGCTTACCATAAAGAATCGCTACACCCTCCCCCTCATATCCGAACTCATTGATAAACTCAAAGGTGCCAATTACTTCACGAAACTAGACGTACGATGGGGATACAACAACGTCCGAATCCAAGAAGGAGACGAACACAAGGCCGCTTTCAGGACCAATCGCGGCCTGTTCGAACCCCTCGTCATGTTTTTCGGACTTACCAACTCGCCAGCAACCTTCCAGACCATGATGGACCACCTCCTAAGAGAAATGATCACGGAAGGAAAAGTTATTGTATATTTAGACGATATTATGATCTTCACGGAAACACTCGAAGAACATCGTCAAATAGTCACCAAAGTCCTCCGTATCCTGCAACAAAATCAGTTGTATCTTAAACCAGAGAAGTGCGAATTCGAGAAACAGGAAGTCGAGTACTTAGGCATGATCATCTCCAAAGACACTATCCGTATGGATCCGTTAAAAGTCGCAGCGGTCGCTGACTGGCCCGCACCAAAGAACAAAAGGGAACTCCAATCATTCTTAGGGTTCTCCAATTTCTATCGACGATTTGTTAAAGACTACGGACGAATTGCGAAACCACTCACTGTGCTCACCGGAAAAGTTGACTGGACCTGGAAAGACGAACAAGAGACGTCCTTTGAAACGTTGAAGAAAATGCTCACTACTGCCCCCACCCTTGCTATACCAAATGACGACGACCCATTCAAACTAGAAACCGACGCCTCTGACTTCGCTGTAGGAGCCGTCCTATCCCAGAAACAAAACGACAAATTCAGACCCATAGCGTTCCTCTCGAAAGCCCTTACCCCTGCAGAACGGAACTATGAAATTTACGACAAAGAGATGCTCGCAGTCATGACGGCGTTAGATGAATGGCGACATCACCTTGTAGGATCGAAACACCCCTTCACCATCTTCACAGATCACCAAAACCTCCTCTACTTCCGTCAACCACAGAAATACAATCGACGCCAAGCTCGATGGTCATCCCAGCTTGCAGATTATAATTTTAAGATGGAACACGTCAAAGGAAATCAGAATACGAAGGCCGACCTGTTAAGCAGACGGATCGATCATCCTAAAGGCACAAACGATAACGAAGATCAGATACTTCTCCCCGACGTACATTTCGAATTACTTGACACCAACGAAGGATACCTACCAGATATACGTCAAAGCTTCCAGAAACAAGACGACGTAGTAAGGAAGAACTTGAAAGAGAAGCCGGACACCTGGAAGATGAAGGATAGGATCGTCTGGATCAAGAGAGAGTCCGCGACGAGTTCCTACCCGATCCCTTTAGCTGACCGAGTATACGTTCCCCGAAATCACGAACTAAGGGCGCGAATATTGAAAGATCATCACGACGAAGCCCTGGCTGGACACCCAGGAGAAAGAACAATGTTTGAACGAGTGAACCGAGAGCTCTGGTGGCCCAGTCTTCGTACTGATATCAGACGGTATGTACGAGGGTGCGAGAGCTGTCAACGCACCAAGGCACATCGGACAAAGCCTAACGCCCCTCTACACCCGAACCCGATACCAGATCGGCCTTGGCAGATTATCACCACCGATCTCATAGGCGCATTACCGGAATCCAAGGGCTACACCGCCGTTCAGGTCTTTGTTGACCGATTTAGTAAAATGGCCCATTTTGTCCCCACCTTCGTCACTCTCGACTCGGCTGGTTATGCACGACAACTCCGAGATAATGTAATACGACTCCACGGAATTCCTGAAAAGATCGTCTCCGATCGAGGTCCTCAATTCATGTCTCGATTCACAAAAGACTTCTACGACCTAATGGGGATAACACCAGGCCTCTCTACAGGCTATCACCCTCAAACAGACGGACAATCCGAACGGATCAACCAGGATCTAGAGCACTACCTCCGCGTTTTTATAAATCATCGACAAGATGACTGGGCAGACTGGCTCTCCATTGCTGAGTTTACATACAACAACCACCTCCATACCGCAACGAATCAAACACCCTTCTTTTTGAACTATGGGTTACACCCAAGAACGAATATCACCACCACGTTATCCCCTCGTTCCGCTTCTGCAGCAGAATTTAGCGAACAAATGAAAAAACTCCACGATATCACGAAATCCTCCCTTCTTGTAGCAAACGAGAATCTGAAGAAGTATTACGACCGTAAGAAATCCCCCTCCCGGGAGTACCAAGCTGGCGACAAAGTCTGGTTAGAAGGGCATAACATCACAACGGATAGACCAATGAAGAAATTAGACGATAAACGCTTCGGACCTTTCAAAGTCACCCAAAAGGTCGGACCCTCCGCCTATCAACTCGATATCCCTAAAAGTTGGAAGTCCATTCATCCCGTGTTCAACGAAGCCATCCTCTCCCCATACCACGCTCCCGAATTCATCAATCAACCAATTTCCTCGCGACCACCACCCGAAATCGTGGAAGGAATAGACGAATACGAAGTAGAGAGTATAATCGCTTCCAGACCGACCAAACTGAAAGGTAGTAAACTCGACTACCTCATTCACTGGCATGGTTATCCAGTCTCCGAACGAACTTGGGAACCCGACACCAATCTTACGCATGTCGCTGATTTACTCGCCGCCTTCCATAAAACAAATCCAGCCGCCCCTCGGATTATTACCGCTTCTCTCCACTTCCGTCCTTACGAAAACTACACCGCCACTTCCAAACCTCCCATGCTCTTTGATTGGATTAGTAACAAGTTCCAAAGTGCCGCATCCGGACTCATGAGGACACGAGTCTTATAAAAGGGGAGCTAATGTGAGGAATCGATTTTTCTTATCGCATTCCCGTCATGTCGTGGTTAGCAGACTCAATCCCCGTCACTCCTCTTGCCCTTGGACTAGAGATTACAGCAGGTGTCTTATTACTTTTATCATTTTTCTTCTTATTCTCTCTTCACACTCACGTTCTATCATACCTACAACGAGGTAGACTCGTTGTCGACCCTCGAGAAGATATCCAGATGACATAGTCACGATCCAGTGCTATGTCTGGGGATACTTCGGAGGAATATTGATAAGCGAAGAAGGTTGTGAGTCAGCGCCTTCTCATGGGCTTACTGATACAGCCAATCATACATCCCTTACCAATACACTTTCTCGTACGATTAGTAAAGACGATAGATCGGACCACTTTCTTCTTTCTTTTCTTATTGGTTAGCTAGCTGGTCAGACCACTTTCTCAGTACTTCCCTTTCTCGGTCTGACCATCGTCGTTCACTATATAGAGAAGTACATACTTGATGTATTGTTCTCCAGTTCAATATTAGTTTGGATTTGCGCTCTTACCGATACTCTTCATTCTCATACTCTGATTCACCGCCTTCAAGGAAGGACTTGACCAGACATTGGGCTTTGTTATATAGCTTCGTATTTGTTGCCTGACACAGTACTCTGATTCACCGCCCTCTTCAGGGACTTGACCAGATATCCGTTGTTGTTATATAGCTTCATATTCATTGCCTGACAAGGTGGTGGTGGAGAGGAGGTAGCAGTGGTGGCGATGGTGGAGAGATGGTGGTGGTGGTGTCTGCATTTATTGGCTTGAACCTGTTAATAGACAACAGAGGAACTTGCCGAGGGGTCTCCAATTTATCGGTGGGTATATATACTACTATAAGTTGTTTGTACATGTATATTATACAGTTAATAATATACAAAGTATACTGTATATGAGAAGAAGGGGCAACAAACACAATACAAACTTTATGCAGTATGAAAGTTATAAAATTAAGTTTCAATGGTAAAATTGTCACTAATAATCTCTTAATCTGTGAATCAATTAAGCCATATAGCTACTTTACACACATGTGAATACCCAGACTTAATTTCACCCTCAAGTGCCATGGAAGTGCCTTGAGCACTGTAACAGGCACAGTCCTTAAGGGTATGGTTTATCTAATACTGGCTAAAGAGATATACACTTGTAAGTTGGCACCATCTTCAAAAACTTTTTCAAAAGCACACAAAGATCTTGAAATGATGTTCTCCCTTCCCCCCAAATACCCCAAAGATCCATTTAACACAATTTTTGGGTCGTGCTTGGCAGAATTGAATGATTCATGCTTATTCTTGGGCTTGTCAGCCACATAGCTCTATTTGGCAAGATAAGAGTATTCCCCACCATATGAGATTAACAGCTTCCCACACAATGCAAAGCCAGCATCAGCAAGATAGGATTTCCCTTTACAAATGCAAATATGGTGCCAACATAAATGACAGCATCTGTTGTGGAAACTTCTGAGGCAATCAGGACATAAAAAAAGTGTAATTCAAGTGAGCAGCAAGCTTTAGGAAGGCAGTTTTTCAACATATAATACTTGGAGGGGGGCTGCATGGAATATGTGTCCCGTTGATTGCTTTAATAGTATTAGAGAAGTATGGGTAGTGTTACGATACACAATTTTCGGACCTTTAACTTTCATTCTCCTATCTAACTTTCTTCTATAGTTTTCACACACGGTGCCAGGCGGCACTTTCCTTTTGTTCAAACTCCACCTTCTTGCGCTGTGCTGCCTTCCTTTTATTTTTAGATACAAGTATCTCACGCAGTGGAGCTGGTCACACAGGCTGCGCCCTCTGACATCATCAGCCACTGCTTTCATCAACTATATAGTACATAAGTACAAACACCCTGTAGTAGTATATAAACCTCAATAGATCCAGGAGACTCCTCAGTGAGTCCTCCTGTTGTTTACCCATAACTTACTCGGTCCTACCTAAGGGGTAACCACTCCCCCTCATTGCTCTTTTGCTTGTCTGAGTTGTGCGCCAGAGTAACTAACTCTTGGTTGTTACAGGTAGAATCTAGGATTAATCTGAATTCTGGGCAGTATAGCATCTTGTTTTATCTAGCAAAACGCAAAAGGCTACATGAAGAGTTAATGTGAGTTAGGTGAAACTACATAGAATAGAAGATATCTCACCTCAAAGTTGGATGGAAAACTCTAAGGTGTCTTATTTATAAAAAGGAGCTATATATCAGCTAATGGAAGCAAAACAAAAATTGTCATCTGATGGTGCATGGGCCATCCCATTCACTAGGCCTGCCTAGTTTGGTCACTACTCCAATATCTCCACTTCGTAGACACTTGCACCTGTATTTTCAACACCTTGTACACTAGATAGACTCAAAGCTGTGGTGGCTGCATGTCTAGAACAATTTCACCCAATTTAACTTGTATAAAAGCTTGCAAAAAGTACCATGCAAAACTGCCACAAGCAGCTTTGAGAAGTTTTTTTGACTAGCTAATTTTGGGCTTCCTCCAGTGCAGATCAAGAAAATATTAAACTCAACCTCTTTGCTCTATTTTTGAGAAAATGTAACAAAAATGTAGATGGTTATGCCAGAGGAGGAATGAATGTTGACCAAGTTTTCACCTGAATATTTATATATTCATTTAGCTATATGAATCTAATATATGTTTGCTAGTAAATTGTGACAGAATCAAACTCGTTTAATTACTGACAGGCTCAGGAATATCAAAAGTTTGGAGTACTAGTAAGCGAGCTCCCCTTTAAATTCTTTTGCGGAGAGCTACATTTAACCTTGGGTATGATGCTAGTATCGATGTGGTAATCTTCCGCACTATTTGCGCTTGTTTGGCGGTTAATCAGAGGTCACAGGATCTGGTCATCCTTCTCCTCGACCGCGACCAGTCTGTCTCGCAGTCTTTTTTCCTCCTCCTCACCCTTTCTCGCACTGTCCGCTATCCTTGTCGTATTCTGATCAGCTGTTATCTTTCTTCTCAAATTGCATCTCTACTTCAGTCGGCTTGTGGGTAGCCCGGAACTACTGAGCTAGCGTTTTTATCCTCCTGCCGACTCCCTATTCAACCGTGAAGGAGCTGTGTTATTCTTGGAAATTTGCTGTATTTTGAGATGTCAACTCACGTACCAATAAATGGCGTCAAGATATCTCGTGCGTTCTTTTTTCTCTGTTTCTTTAGGATATTGCCTGCTATTATTCTTCCCATTGTATCAAGCATATTCATCATGGGATGACTTTTGTGTTGCTTATTTTATGATTATCTTGTCCCATAATTGGTTTCGAGCTTACATCGGTAACATCCCTTCCTAATAATCATCGTTATCGAACAGCCATCGACGATCCCCACAAAGTCGTCAAGGTTATTGCCTCCGATGGAAAGACCGCGGACACGAGGGAAATATCATACAGCAACTGTAAAGTCATTGGAAATGGCTCGTTTGGTGTTGTCTTTCAGGCAAAGTTAGTGGGTGCACCAAACGATGGTGAAGATATCGCTATCAAGAAGGTCCTGCAGGACAAGAGATTTAAGGTATGTTCCAATATTAAGGACCACTCTCTTCTGTAGCCACGCGATGGCTATGCTTTCGATTTGAAGGGGTGTTGCTGATTGATGATTTCTGATTCAAACGGTGACCCAAATTTTGATTGGATAGAATCGTGAACTACAGATCATGAGGCTGGTCTCCCATCCCAATGTCGTCGACTTGAAAGCATTCTTCTACTCCAATGGTGACAAGGCATGTCTTCAATATTTCGAGATATTTTAGTCTCCTTATGTTGCATTCGCTCATCTACTCATAGAAAGATGAGGTATATCTCAACCTCATGCTCGAATACGTTCCCGAGACTGTTTATCGCGCCAGCCGCCACTATGCCAAGTTGAAGCAACCGATGCCAATGTTGCAAATTAAACTGTATATGTACCAACTCCTGCGCTCTCTCGCGTACATACACTCGGTTGGCATTTGTCACCGGGACATTAAACCCCAGAACTTGCTGCTGAACCCTGCGACAGGAGTTTTGAAGTTATGTGATTTTGGCTCTGCAAAGATATTGATAGCTGGGGAACCGAACGTTAGCTACATTTGCTCAAGATACTACAGGGCTCCAGAGCTTATATTTGGAGCTACCAACTACACGACTAACATCGGTAAGCGATTGGGCATAACGTGGAATTTGGAGGCTAATGCGCATTGTGTATAAGATATATGGTCCACCGGTTGCGTCATGGCAGAGTTGATGTTGGGACAACCCCTATTCCCTGGGGAGAGTGGTATCGACCAACTTGTGGAAATCATCAAAGTTCTTGGTACCCCTTCAAGGGAGCAGATCAAGACCATGAATCCGAACTACATGGAACACAAATTCCCACAAATTAAGCCTCATCCCTTCTCGAAGGTATGGTATAGTCGGCACATTGTATCCCGACTTTCTACTTAACTAGGTTTGGGACATCAGGTTTTCCGACCACGTACTGCACCAGAAGCGATAGATTTGGTCGCTAAGCTGCTAGAGTACACCCCAGGGGCTAGGTTGAGTGCTGTGGAGGCAATGGTCCACCCATTCTTCGATGAACTTCGGGTGGAAGGAGCCAGGATGCCGAATGGGAAAGAGTTCCCTCTTCTTTTCGATTTCACTAGAGAAGGTGAGTGGTATCACGCATTGCAGAAAGTCACTCACTGACCACGGGGATTTTTCATTGCAGAGCTCTCTGTTCGGCCAGATTTGATCCGAAAGCTTGTACCGACCCAGTGCGAGGCCGAGCTACGCTCCCGATCTGTTGACTTGGACAACTTTGTACCGATACCATTGGAACAGCTGAAAATCACGCTGGATTGACGGAGCGATGAGCTATCTTCCTAATGTACTGCTTTTGTTCGGTATATTCTGCCTTTTCCCCTTCTTTGAATTGATTGTGCTCTACACACTGTATACAAGATGTCTATAGCTTTTACATTGATTATATATGCATCTGAGGCTGGCCGACAGAATGTATGTGGGGTGTGACCGAATTGTGACCGAAAGAGTCACGGGTGACCGTTGCATTTGTTGCGCCATGTCGCGTGAGATATACGTGACTGGTGCATCTAAGTGAGAAAGAGTCGCAATATCGGCAGAGACATATATACTGCCCCGCATCCATCCCAGTCTCCTTTTACCCTCTATCATGTCCTCTTACGTTTGCGATACTCTACCTGCTGCACGGCTTGCTTCAGCTAATTCAGAACCTGACTGTCCTCGCTCGCCGTCTCCACCAGTTGCGTTCCGGGTATCCAACGCTCAGGACGAGTCTAAAATGATTGCAGCTTCGCAGCAAGATGTCAGTGAAAAATCTCTAGCTGCCCCACCTCAGCCTCCACCAAGGAAGCTTTGTATTCGCCATCAACGCATGGCTGACGAAGGAACTAATCTGAAGCTTCAGCAAGTGAGTACCTTACCCGATCCAATTCACCTTATTCGGATACATGTCCTGTAGACTGATCTGTCCTCCAGTCATTAGATGCCCTATCCGTCCAAGAGAGAGAAGCCGTTAACTCCATATGGTCAAACTTCTCCTCGTCGTCTCATCCTCGCAGGGAGCTCATACTCCAAGGTCTTCTCACAATGTGCTGCTTTTCTCAACTATCTCTCCTCACCGAACAACTTACCCAGCTTATCCGCATCGACCCTTTTGTCGTTCTGCCTCGCGAGGTTTCCCTCAAAGTGTTGAGAAACCTTGACGCTACATCCTTGTGTCGTGCCGCACAGGTCAACACACATTGGAGAAGTTTGGCAGATGATGATATATTGTGGCGTGGTATATGCGAACAACATATTGGACAAAAATGTACCAAGTGCGGCTGGGGCCTGCCCATCTTGGAGAGACGGCGGGCTGTTCGTATTCATTCATCTCCATCATGCATCCCTCGCCCTATCTCTCCTTCATCTAATAAGAGGCAGATGAGCGATAGTCCATGTTCCATCGACCGCGTCCCCAAGCGCAAGAGATATGATCACGACTCACGCTTGCATATTTCTCTTCCTCATACTAGCGATCTTCAACTACGCTCGTCGGTATCAGCATCATTTCCGGAATCATTAGCTATCCCTATGGCACATACGGCGTCAAATTCCCTACTCCTGCCCGATCCTTCACACCATGTGGAAACAATCACTCGACCCTGGAAGGATGTCTATAGTGAGCGGCTCACTATTGAACGCAACTGGCGTCGTGGACGATGCACTGTGCGAACTCTGAACGGCCACACAGATGGCGTCATGTGCCTTCAATTCAACGAGACCCTCTCTCACCCATCTTTTCCCGTCCTTATCACGGGCTCATATGATCGAACCATTCGCGTGTGGAACATGGAAAGTGGGGTTGAGATACGCTGTCTACGAGGTCACACTCGTGCAGTGAGGGCTCTACAGTTTGACGAGGCCAAACTCATCACCGGTAGTATGGACCACACTATTCGTGTTTGGAATTGGCGTAGAGGAGAGTGTATCCGCACTTTGGAAGGGCACTCGGAAGGTGTTGTGTCCTTGCACTTCGACTCGAATGTACTTGCAAGCGGTAGCGTCGATGCTACCATTAAAGTTTGGAACTTCAGGACAGGGGAAGCCTTCACTTTGCGCGGACATCGTGATTGGGTAAACTCAGTTCGGTTGTGGGACTCTGGGAGCACACAGCATGACCCATTGTCCTCTCCCATGGAGCTAACAAACGCAAGCCAAGCCCCTCATATCGACCCAGGAAAGATGCTGTTCTCAGCCTCGGATGACGGCACTATCAGACTTTGGGACCTTTCATTAAGGACATGTGTACGGCAGTTCACTGGTCACGTCGGTCAGGTCCAAAGTATGAGACTTCTGTTCGCGGACGAGGGCTGTGATGGGGACGCGCGTAACTCACAAGATCCCAACTCAATGTTAACGCATCCACGTGGTGAAACCAAAGACATCACCTATTCTCCCTCTCAATTTAATACATCTGATGTGCCGTCGCAGTGTGAGGAACCTTTATACTATGGAAATGACGAGCTGCAAGATATCGTTAACTCTACCGAGGGTCTTTTACTCGGGAAACGTTCAGTGCCTGTGCTAATATCTGGAAGCTTGGACAATACCATCAAACTGTGGGATATAGAAACTGGGAAGGCTACAAGGACACTCTTCGGACATATAGAAGGTGTGTGGGCGATAGCGGGAGACAACTTGCGATTGGTGAGCGGAAGCCATGATCGTACAATCAAGGTCAGACCAGATTCAATGTACTTGTAACGCGTAGCTGATATTTTCTCGTAAAGGTGTGGAACCGTGAAGAAGGCCGATGTACTGCCACCTTAGTAGGCCATCGCGGTGCAGTCACTTGCCTTGGTCTTGGTGAGGATAAAATAGTGTCAGGAAGTGATGACGGAGATATTAGAATATGGAGTTTCAGTGGTTGATATATTCTTTATAACTTAATTGCCTGCGGGCCTATTCCTGCTCTGATTGTTCTTCACTAGCTGTGGTATAACCATTGATGCTGTCGGAGTGCTTATTGACGCACAGACATGACAATAAGTCAATCGTGTTCGAAACATTGTCTTCCATTCCATCAGGCCATGATCATGGATGGGGTGGTGATAAGCACTATTAGAATACCAATATAAGACACAACTATATTGGATATCTAACTAGTCCTATCGTTTCTTCTTGATTCCTTCAAATTTTCGAGTTAGGCGCGTAAAGCTCACGGTAGTTTTAGAATAACTAAAAAATCACATCCTTCAGACCAACGCATATATTAATGAAATGAACTCACGCTATCGATATTATCCTGGCCTCCGGGTCGTTGACGTACTCTGTAAAGCTGAATATCAATAGCATATAACAGATAGATATAAATCAGCCGCGACCTCCGAGTGGGAATAAACTGTTCTTGTTCGTCCATGTCCCAAAGGTTTCCTACACTGCTTGCTCCTCCCGGCTGAGTCCTCACTCGTCTACACTCAACAATATCAAGAAGAGAAACACAGCCACCATATGTTGATGCATACCTGCTTGGCTTGTTTTCCTCTCCAACGACTCCACCCTGAGCGAATGGATTACAGAGAGTTTAGAGGACAAAGAAAGGTCGCACCTGTTCAGCAACAGACTGCTGAGAAACAGCGGGTGTGATACTTTGACCTGTGATTTGACTCTGGCTTGTACTTGGACTGAAGCCACTGTCGAACTGAGTTGCTTCTGGTGCTCCGGTATTCGTGGCCTGCTGATCAGAGGGGGACAACTTGCCGAATTGCGCGTAACCTGTAAGAAGAATTCCACTAACAAGAGCATAAAGACCAAAACTTGAAGCTACCCACGGGGAAGTTTCTGAATGTTGGAAAAGCTTGGGTCAACCGTCGTCCCTGTGTATCTTTGTCTGCGTCAGTCACAAGAGGACGCCATGACTAGCTTGACTGACTTCAGGAATTCAACCAAAGTGCGCTTTGTGAATACAATGTTCGAATCCCAGTCAAGCATTCCTTCACCATACGTTTTTCTTAGGTCTATGGACACAGATAAAGGAAATGAAGCGTGCTCACCAAGATTGAATGCCCAATCTTTTTCTTTTGTTTTGTCGACAGCATCTGAGGGGGTAAATCTGGTGCATTCTATTAATTGTATGGTCACAACGACGCGTAATGGTACTGGCATACGTGGAAGACATGGCTTGTACAGGTCAAAGTGTGTCTGGCAAGGATGGGGAGATAACTCTTATATCTGAGACGGTTGTCAAGCGATATATGTGTTTAAATTGACCCATCATCGGATAGATCCGTGCAGACATGTATTACACCCGTACCTTTGCAGGTTACTACAATGAGTACTCCTTACAGAGCTACCGTTTCTTTTGCGCTTTCCTGCACACGAAGATGCAGTACTCCACTCGTCTTGTCAAGAAAAATAGCATCCAGGGCTACTGCAGCCTATACAGACGCTTCTCTGTCTGGCGCCCAGGATCCAGCTAGCTCTTCAACACCACCGGGGTTGGACTACAAGCAGCGGAACGTTCTCGATCGCGCCATACGGGTTGACCAAGCTGGAGAGATAGCTGCGAACTGGATATACAAAGGTCAGATGGTCGTGTTGGGCAAGGACCTTCATGTTGGTCCAATTATCCAAGTTCGTCCAAGTTTGCAATCCCAGACTTGATGTCAACTTATATGCTTATGAAGGATATGTGGGATCAAGAAAAGAGACATTTAATTGTGATGGACAAGCTCCAAGTACAACATCATGTCCAACCAACACTACTTTCTGGAGTGGCGAAGGTGGCTGGCTTTGGTTTAGGAGCTGTCACGGCCATTATGGGCAAAGAAGCAGCTATGGCTTGTACAGAAGCTGTAGAGACTGTAATTGGTGAACATTACGACGAGTACGTCGTCTCAATGTTCGGTTATCTCGCTTGAAAATTAAAAGTACTCCAGCCAGCTGGTCGCTTTAGAAACATTACCACAGTCACATCCGAGTATTCCACTATTAGCACGAGTCATCCGTGAGCTCCGTGATGACGAACTCGAACATTTGGATACTGCGGTGCAGCACCATTCACAACGCGCCCCAGCACACGCGCTCTTGAGTGCCGTTGTCGGAGGTGGTTGCAAGATAGCCATAAGACTTTGTAAGGAGATCTAGTTTTGCTTAATACCACTTAGTTCATCGCATATGTAATTTTCTGTTAACGCAACTTCGAGAGAAAAAAGAAATATATTGTGGATGTCTAATCAGAAACATCTCGCACTCTATGTTCGCTGATCGCGCGGAACATTGTTTATGAGTAGGGTAACAGCTTTCATGATTGAGTGGTCAAAGCTTGGTCTTTTCGCTTTCCTGACCAATTCCATTGTAACTACATGTCGAAATCAGACGGTGAACTAGTAAAGGGGGAGACTATGAACAAACTCACATGTGTTTGCGAAGCTACATAATAGATTGCGCCTGGAACAAATACAAAACCGCACATCGCGATCCAAGTTGTGCGAGGGGTGAAACGGAAGTGCTTATACGCATCTTCGCGCTGAAAGACCTTGTTGTAAGTGTACATGCCATTATCCGAAGTGCAAACACGTCACCATGCGGTTCCATCGTTCAATACCAGGATCTACCTACAATTGAGGGATGGGGGTTTAGAATATAGCATGGTTAATGATATGGCTATACCTTTAGGAAGCCTGTCAAAGGTGTTAATACGCTTTCGAATTTTACTGCAGATACTCACTCTGAGCGGCCATGGTAGGAAAGAGGTTTTGTTGTGCATTGTTTGGTCGCGGAGGAGACCTAGAATTCTAGACTACATATTTACTTCACTCGCTTTAACTGTCACCGTTGCCGTTGCAAGTTGTGCTGGCTTTTAGACATTGTATCTTTGCCTTGTCATGTCTTATAGCCGTAGCTGGGATCATGTCGCTGAACAGTGGGCTCAAGATGAATTTCGGAATCCTGGCGGTGACAGAATAAACGTTCGACCAAGGGAGGACGACTTCTACAGCGAAGGCAAACGCAGGAGATATGATAATGCAGTCTGTTACTTTCTTTATCTTGCAAGTGCCTCTAATCTCATAAAATATATAGGAATATGATCACAGCCAGATTTACCAAGAGGCTCACTATGAGTCCCAAAATCAGGCTCGTTCCGGCGACTTCACCCATAACAACTTACCAGACGAGCGCTCTCAACGAAATTTCCAGAACAAAAAACGCCTTGTTCCAAGCGAACCAAGTCCGCATGTTATTTTCCTCGGCTTAGATCCAGACTTCACCGAATCCGACGTTCGTAATACGTTCACATGTTATGATGAAAGGCTAAACCGAGTCTATGTCAGCTCCGGTCACACCTTACCAATAATGGTTGTAGTGTTGAAACAGTCACTATTATCCGAGACAGATCAACAGGCAGTTGCCCATTTGTATATCATCTCTGCGCGTGCATTGACCTTCCTCCACCGTGAATTTCAAAGGTGTCTCCAAGGGCTTCGGCTTTGCCCAGTTCTCAAGCACTGAACACGCGCGTGCTTTTGTTGACCCCCTCTTTCCGTTCATTCAAGTTCCGCCACCGGCGTCTCATGGTGCTTCGTCTTCTGCTGCTTATTATAAAGCTCTAGAATCCGGTGTGCCTCATGATGGCCGGAGAGTGAAAATTGACTATTCACAGAGTGCCACTCCTCATGACAGGAGTCGAACTCGCCAGAATATGAACGACGGTACTCGTGATATTGGTAACACCCAAGCGCCTGTACTGCTCTTCCGGGGACTCGATCCGCTATCTGGCCCTCAAGCTATTGCGCAGGCTATGAAAAGTTCATCGGGTATTGGAAAAGATGGCGCCAAGGGCATGAAAAGAATTATCCTGATTAAGGATAAGGTGACCTTGGCGAGTTTTGGCTTCACTTTCGTGGAGTTCGTTGATATTCAGGTGAGTTCCATCTCGACTGCTTGTGTAGCTCTTGACATTGTTGTTATTAGTCCGCGTCTGCTGTATTAGCAGCGACTATGTCCCCTCAAATCCACCCCTCAGGATTTCGCATTTCTGATCGACCTGTAGCCGCTTCATTCGCTCATCCCTATTCATTTCAACTCGTGGCTGACCACGTCCTCCGAGACGAGGCGGTTTTTTCTTCGTCGCTAAACTTAGGGGGCGTGGAAGGTTCATGGGTGAAATATTGGGACGAAACGACGACTGTCGCCATACTTGAATTTGAAGTTGAGGGACCACCTCAGGTTGCCCTCCCCATGTCTACTAAGGAGAAGAAGGGAAAGAAGAAACTCAAAGGTAAACTCCACGATGATCGTAGAGTAACGCTGTATTCAACAACAGTCCAGATGATGCTATCACACCCGCACCCAATGCATTGCCCGAAGCATCTGTTCTGCCTATCTCCGATAAGCCTGTGACTCTTACTTTTAAGGGAGTTGCTGCAAGCAAAGCTGCGACATCTACATTAGGTGTGCACCTCGCATGATTACCAGTGTAATGACATCTATCTTCTAACGACACCCAAAGTGTCCGCTCCATCCGCACTAGGTTTCTCGTCCGAGGAAAGCGGAGCTCTTTCTCCAGGAGCGGATGAAGCACAATTAAATGCTGATGCTAAAGGTATGCCATATCCTTATATGTGTGTCATTATACTAACTGATCTTTTTCTCAAGCTGCAGCTGCAAAGAAGGTCGCCCCATTGATTGCAAGTAAGAAGGTTGGTTTCAGAAAACCCAGCTTGCGACTTGGAAAGATGATATTGATGATGACGTGCTCGCAGACCGTTAATAATATCAACAAATGGAATCAAGTACAGGAAGAACTCAGAGACGATTCTGAAGCACATCCACCGGTATAATAAAAACAGTCATATAGAATCAATAATGTAAGCGTAACTTATGACTTCCCAACTTCCAGGACAATCCGGTTGGTGCCACGAGTCCCCTGGTTGCCCCCAGCACAGCACCAGCCCAACCGCAGAGAGGAGAATTCGAGTTCTCGGACACAAATGCAATGACGTGTCTACTATGTGCAAGACAGTTCAAGAGTACGGATCAGCTCAAACGGCATAACAAGGAATCAGATTTACACAAGGCTCGCTTTTCTTCGATTTTGTTATGATGTGATATATTCAAGAGTGTTCTGATCTTTATTTCATCCTTTCGTGCAACATGCTCGATGCCCACCCTACAGAATAACCTCAAAGATGCGACACTACAAGAACTAGCTCGTCAAAAAGCTCAAGTTGCTCGAAAGACGACACAATCGACCAAGGTTATGGAACAAACGAAATATCGCGATCGCGCATTCGAACGTCGGATCATGCATAACCAGCCCGACGTTCCACCACCTGATAATGATAATATACCGAAGAAGAGGCATATAGAGGGGCCTCCTCCAATCACTCCTCCGCCTGTCCCCGTCGTATCAACTCAGGATGACAACAACATTGGTAATAAACTACTCAAGATGATGGGTTGGAAAGAGGGAACTGGACTAGGGAGTTCTGGCGAAGGCAGAACTGAGCCTATGTACTTATCTTTTACCTGATGACTTATGCTCTGCTAACATTTCGTAGTCAAACAGCTATTTATGCCCAGGGGGTTGGTTTAGGGGCCAGCAAAGGAAAGGAAATAGGCAAGTATGCCGATGGGTATTCAGGTTATGTGCACATGGTGCAAGATGCAGTAAGTTATAAAATTTCATTGTCTCTGGTTGCTGAGATTTATTTGAAATAGGCCCGTGAGCGGTTTGGGCTGTAGGATATCCTGTATTTAGCCGTTTGTATTAAATCTTTCATTTTTTGGAAACATCCCTTTTACCAAGTGGACGGTTACAAATTGGCAAACTATAAGGATACGGTGATTTGATTTGACAAAGAGAGAACCAGCGCGATGAAAGTGACTTCGGTTGCTGTAGAAGGATAATAAGTACTCCACTACCATCACCGTATTAAGCTTATATCTCGTATCACGGTCAACATTGAACTTCCTGCGAATTCCCAATGTACACCATTAGCTCTACATGCCAATCCTAGTAGGGGTCATGTCGAGCTGAACGCCTTCTGTGTTCGCATGATCCTGGATACGCTGAGCTACGTGTCTTACAGCCTGAGTGAGTGCAGGGGCCAGCATGGATTGGGCCCCGGACTCTTCCTCCCTTGCAAAACGGACAGTACTCAGCACCGGTAATGTACTACCTTCCCTGGCCATACGGGCGTTGTCGTCGCTTTGATGAAGATTAAAGTGGATGCGACATGCAAGCACACTGTGTAACGTGAGTTGCAATCTGTAAGGTGCACGGTTAGCGACGACCGCACAAAAGAGTTTCCCTGAAGTTCACTGGCACAAGCAAATTGACACGTACGAGTCGAGTAACCCATAGTACGCGATCTGTTTGCAAAATGACCAGAGTCTGAGTTTGATGGGATAACCTGATACAGAGAAATATTGAGCTTACCGGTAGAACACTAATGACCCCAATGTTAACTATTGACATGACTTGAGGTTTCATGATGAAATGGCAGATAATCAGGGGAAATATTCCGAAATAATGGTTCACGTACGCACGAATGATGCAGCTCATATACGCCATGCTTGTTAGTTTTGGTGATTCTGCACCTTTGTGCTACCTATATATTTTCATTCCTTTCTCTATCTATTCTTCTATCATTCACTATTGATTGTGTTCTCTATTATTTTGCCTTTGTGGCTGCTTTGTTTACCTTTGTTTACAAAACTTCGGACAGTATTGCAGAGTCCAATGCTTCCTATTCTCTAGTTACTCACATTGGACTCTAGGTACTGTATACCTGTCATACTCTCTAATAATAAAGTTACTCACATTGGACTCTAGTTCCAGTCCCTGATTGCTCTCAGCAAGTGGCTAGACACTTCCTTCAAGCTTTGTTCTTAATAGGTTATGAGCCCTGTGCTCTAGCCATCTTCCTGACCTCATATCTCACCATCCAAGCGTCCTACTGCTTATCCATCATAACCATTGTCTTCTGGGACTCTTATTATCTCATCCATCACCTCAGATTACTCTGATCTCATCTTGATCTCCAACAACAACTCCTTGTTGCAAGTTACCCCCATTTCAGACGCTTTTTTGGTCTTATCTGCACCATATCTCGCCCAATCCTTATCTGATCGTCCTGTAACTTCTACCATCGTCTTCTACGGCCTAAATAACCCTAGGAGACCTGTCAGAGTGGTTGAATTTGAGCTGGATCTTTCTGTGAGCCTTCATCATCATTTGATCACCTTTTGGCCCCCTATTCCATATCTCCACATCCTGTGCTCGGATCTTGGCCCTATTTGAGCCATCTACTACCCTATACTATTGCACTTTACACCGTCAATTTGGGGGCAATCCATCCACTCCATCATCCTCTGTGAAGTTTGCATTTTTGGCACTTTCACCCCTATTGGACTCCTATTGCATATCTCCACATCCTGTGCTTCACTTCTTGTGATATTTGGGCCATCTATTACTCTATAAAGATGTTCCCTATACCTCTGATTTGGTGGCAATCCATCCATCTTATCTGTCTCTGCATCAATTTCGACTTTTTGCCCTATTTTTCGCTTTTGGCATATCTGGTGTGTGCATAAAGCTCCAATCTTCTCTACTCTGTCCATTATCAGATAGAACAAGCCTATAGACTGTGAAGCTCGCCTGCATTGCCTCAGTTTGCTGTTGCCTAGAGCCTCTCTCAGTCTGCGGTGTTTGGGGAGCTTAAGTCACTTTGTTGACTCATATACAAGCCCTATTAACCAACACTGTCTCGAGGCGATTTCTCTGTTAATATCAGTGTGGAATTGAAAGGGGAATACAGGCGTAACCCTGTAGCAGCACTAGGAAGCCTTAGCACCCTCCTGGATTGCTTTTGGACGCTTTTTGGACCCTATTTGGACCTATCCTTGCGCTTTCTGACCCTCTCCATATCCTCTCTCTACCGCCTCACCATCTTATCTGCTCGCCTCCTACTGTTGCCCATTGTCTTTGCCACTATTCCATCGCCTATAGCTGTCTCCTACATCATTTATCATTGCTCTATTGTCTTATACAACACCCATCATGTCTGACTCTGATCCCAAGTTCCATCCCTTGTCTGGCACTAACTACCCCCAGTGGAGTGGTGAAATGCAAGCTTGGTTGATGACCAAGGGACTGTGGAGGCTCGTCTCTGGCGCTGAAAAGTGTCCTGGGACTGATGCTGAAGCAATAGAGAAATGGGAGTTGAGAGCTGAAAAGGCTGCTGGTGCATTATATCTCAATGTCACCAAAGAGCAGCGCATCCATCTTGATGGCATCATTGATGATCCTGTCAAGATCTGGGAGAAACTGGCAATTGTGCACGTCTCTAAGAAGCCTGGGACGAGATTTAATGCCTATGACGACTTCTTCTCTATCAGAAAGAAGGAGGACGAGTCCCTGCAGTCTCTCATGACCAGAATTGACGAAGGCATGCATCAGATTCAAAATCTTTGTCCTACTGGCTTCTCATTGTCTGAATTGGACGATGAATTGACATGCATGGCCATGATTAGGGCGCTTCCTGATCAATATGCCCACTTCACTTCATCTCTACTACTTCTGGGCACCTTGGACAAGACCCAGCTCAGGGATGCTTTCCTTGCTGAAGAGGTCAATCGCCGTCGTCGTGCTGAAGTCGATTCTGCCTTGCATTCTTCGTCTACCACTGCCAATAGCACCTGCACCCATCCTAACTGCCATCATTGCAACCAATCCACCACCTCTACTCGCGTTCAGTGTGATTTCTGTGGTTTACTTGGTCATACCCAAGACAAATGCCACAGATACATTGCTAGTCGCCAACAGGCAGTGGAGGGTGCTAAGAATCGCTACAAGCGTGGCAATAAGGCTCAGGCAGGCTCCAGCAACTCTCAGAATACCTCTCAGCAGCCCAAATCTTCGCCCAACAATGCCAATTCATCTACTGTGGTCACTGAATCAGCTGGGAATGCAAGTCTTCGTTCCATTCATCCCTCTGATCCTCATTGCCCTCTCCAACTTGATGCTGACATTGATTAGAATGCAGACACAGGCACCACTTCTCATATGACACCTCATCGTCATTGGATGCACCACTATACCCCATATCATGTGCCAATCAAGCTGGCTGATCACACTGTTGTCTATTCAGCTGGTGTTGGTACTGTGGTGTTTAATCCTGTGATGAATGGCAAAGTGGCTATGGCTGTGGAATTCTCTAGAGTGCTCCATGTACCAGATCTTCGAAATAATCTCCTCTCAGTCTTGTATTTAACTCGTCAAAGTGGTTTCAATGTCACTATTTCGTCTCATTCCATGTCCTTTATGCGTGACAACACTCTCTTGTTCACTGCAACTATCAATGACAACAATGCAGCATTCCTTGATGGATCTACTGCTGCTTGTGTTGAATTGGGACATTTTACTGCGACTATACCACTTGATTTGATGCTCTGGCATCGCAGATTGGCTCACCACCATCATGCTGATGTCAAGAGACTGATACAGAGAGATCTGGTCACTGGGCTTACACTGGAATCCAAGGCTGCTCCTGATCCTGTCTGTGAACCGTGCTTGTCTGGCAAGATGCATGCCAATCCATTCCCCTCATCTGATACTCGCTCTGCTCATCCTTTGGACCTCATCCATTCTGATGTACACCAAGTCTCTTCCCCCACATTCTCTGGTTATCGCTACTGGGTCACCTTCATTGACAATCACAGTCGATTCCGTGTTGTTGTGCCTCTCAAGGCCAAGTCAGATGTCTTTGATGCTTTCAAGAGATTCAAGGCTTATGCTGAGACTCAATTGGAGCGTAAAATCAAGGCTCTGCACGATGACAAAGGGGGAGAGTACATGTCCAAGGAATTTGAGCAATTCACAGATGACCATGGGATTGTCAGACAGCATACCACCAGGAATCGTCCTCAGCAGAATGGTGTGGCAGAGCGAGCAAACAGACTTCTGACTGAGCGTATCACTGCCATGTTATCAGAGTCTGCATTGCCTAACAGCTTCTGGGGTGAATGTCTGTCCGCTTTGGTGCATGTCTGGAACAGGTGTCCCACTGATGCAGTGGCCCATGCCACTCCATTTGAGTTGTGGTATGGACGCAAGCCTGACATGTCTCACCTTCGCGTTTGGGGCTGCACTGCCTATGTGCATGTGCAAAAGGACAAAAGAGGCATCTTTGGCTCTCATATGGAGAAATGTGTGTTCATTGGTTACCCTGAGGGATACAAGGGATGGAAATTCTACAATCCTACCACCAAGCACACTGTTATCTCTGAGAGAGCTGATTTTGATGAGCGCTACTTCCCTGGCTTGAAGAGGTCTTCTGACAATGTCCCGCCTCCACCTCCCACTCCACCTTCGCTATCCATGCCATTGGGCCTGATTGAGGATGTCCCTACACCAGGTCCAGGGGGAGATATGGGCCCACCAGCTGCGCTTCAGCAGCCTCAACCATTGCCTGACAATGGGCCTCATTTGGACCTTGATGCAAAACCACCTGTGAATCAACCTCCTGAGCTTCCAAATCACCCTCCTCATCGCTCACCTTCTCCTGACTTGCCTATTGCACTGAGACGCCCTGTAAGGGCTAGGAGACCACCTAGACCATGGTGGCTTCAATACAGACAACCTACTCCTGCCATTGAGAGTGATGACAGTGATTCTGAGGCAGTTGATGATGAAGTGGCACACTTTGGAGACTCTGCTGAGCCTAGGTCATTTGCAGATGCAATGAAGCGTCCTGATGCAGATAAATGGAGAGAGGCAGCCATGGAAGAGCTTCAAGCTCATGAGCGCAATGGTACTTGGTCACTAGTGGAACTACCTCCTGGAGTCAAGGCTATTGGTGGCAAGTGGGTCTTCAAGATCAAGCACAACTCAGATGGCACTGTTGAGCGCTACAAGGCCAGATATGTGGCCAAAGGTTATAACCAGCGCCCTGGCTTTGATTTCCTCGAAATATTTGCACCTACTGTCCGCATATCATCCATTAGAGTTGTCCTTGCCATTGCAGCCATCCACAACCTCCATTTGCGCTCCATTGACATTTCCCATGCATTCCTGAATGGAGTCATGGATGTCAAGGTCTACATGCATCAGCCAGAGGGATTCCATCAGGGTCCTCGCAATCTTGTTTGCCAGTTGGACAAGGCCATCTATGGGACAAAGCAGGGAGGCAGAATGTGGAACCAGAAGATGCACACTGTGCTTGAAAAACTCGGATTCAAGCGTACTTATTCAGACTCTGCCATCTATGTCTTTAACAGAGCTGATGTGCGCATTATCCTGCCTGTCTTTGTTGATGACATAACACTGGCATCCACTACTACTTCTGCACTTGACCAAGCTGTCAAGAACCTCTCCCTGCACTTTAAGCTTCGTGATCTTGGCCCTACTTCTTACCTACTTGGCATTTCCATCACTAGAGACCTAAGTAATTGCACCATCTCCCTCTCCCAACATCAGTGCACTCTGGACATTCTGGAGCGCTTTGGCATGAAGGACTGCAAGCCTGTGTCCACTCCCATGGATCCTGGTTTGCGCCTCACCAAGGACATGTCTCCCAAAACATCCAGTGATGCTGCTTTGATGAAGGACATTCCCTACCTTGCTGCTGTTGGTGCTCTGATGTATCTGGCCACTACCACTCGTCCTGACATTGCCTACACTGTTGGAGTCTTTGCCAGATATAACTCTAATCCTGGCCTTACTCACTGGAGCGCTGTCAAGCACTTGTTCCGCCACTTGCAAGGCACCCTTGATCATTCCCTTGTCCTTGGTCCTGATCCCAATTCCACTGAACTCTTCACCACTTTCTCTGATGCTGATCATGGTGGTGACAAGGACTCTGGTTGTTCTACTGGTGCCTATATTGTCAAGATGGGATCTGGTGCTGTCTCCTGGAGCTCCAAGCTTCAGAACATTGTTGCTCTGTCCACCACTGAAGCAGAATACATTGCTGCTGTTGAGGCTGGCAAAGAGATTTGCTGGATGCAAAATTTGTTGAAGGAAATGGGCTATCCTATCACCTCTCCTTCCACCCTTCATATTGACAACCAATCTGCCATCTCTGTATCCAAGAACCCTGAGCACCATGGTCGGATGAAACACCTTGATCTGCGATGGCATTGGTTGAGAGATGTTGTTGACTCTGGGCAGATTGCTCCTACCTTTGTTCCCACTGCTGAAATGCCTGCAGACTTGTTGACCAAGGCTCTTGCCAAGCCTAAAGTGGAAGTGTTCAGGAAGATGATGGGACTTATTAGATCAGGGGGGAGCTGATGCTTGGGAGGTGCAGCATCAGGGGGGAGTGTTAGTTTTGGTGATTCTGCACCTTTGTGCTACCTATATATTTTCATTCCTTTCTCTATCTATTCTTCTATCATTCACTATTGATTGTGTTCTCTATTATTTTGCCTTTGTGGCTGCTTTGTTTACCTTTGTTTACAAAACTTCGGACAGTATTGCAGAGTCCAATGCTTCCTATTCTCTAGTTACTCACATTGGACTCTAGGTACTGTATACCTGTCATACTCTCTAATAATAAAGTTACTCACATTGGACTCTAGTTCCAGTCCCTGATTGCTCTCAGCAAGTGGCTAGACACTTCCTTCAAGCTTTGTTCTTAATAATGCTATCCCTGTAAAGCGTAATTACTAGCTTGCTCTTATGCTTGTTTGAGAATCTATGTTTAACACTGACGGCACTCGTAAACCACTAGAAATGCAAATTGAATAGCATCGGCTCTGGTAGATATAAAAACACAATCTCCCGGGTTATCTGTAGCGGGTCAGATAGCCGATTGTATTGACAGGGGAAGACAGTTGTTAAAAGCTTACTGGGGGGGGTAGGAAATCGGACTTCGTTATTCACGAGTGATCTTTGGAGTAAGTTTTAGTCAGTGTCATCACTACTGCGTCTAAGGTGCTCACCATTCCGGATACAAGCAACCATACAAGGACTGCCTTTTTCCTTTCCCAAAAAGCATAAGTCCGCAAGATAAGTAGGGCTGCATGTGGCCGCTCAGTTTCAATTGCAAATTAGGTGGCTAAATCATACAAGGCCTTCTGTAAAAACAAAGGCTATGATATGGGTGGCTTGGTGGACCGACACAAGTTAGCATATTGTTTGTTTAGTAATGTGACATACCTACCATTCGATACGTAGCCATAAGCAACACACTGTTTGATGGGATTCTTAACAGGAGCCATATTGCAGGTTAATGGTAATAACACTAACACTGCCAGGACGATACTGCGTAGCAGCTGTTTTCGGATTCCTTGAGAGACAGATAATAGTATGGCTGTGATACTGTGATACTTACCGTAGACTCATGATCACACCAACAAGAGGTAGGTAACGAGCAAATATAAATATAATTCGCGTGTAATCCCATTTTCTCCCCCAGACCCACCGGACCTGACATCTGAAGTTTAGAATTTCTCTTTTCAAGCATTGGCAAGTTTCCACGGCTTACCTCGAGTTCGAGTGATATACAATATTCAAATATCTGTATATATAAATTCAGCTATACTGCTAACAGACGACATCACCGTGAAGCCGGATGTCTTACCCAGACTGCTATACCAGCGACTGACGAAGTGGTGAGCACTCTGTAGTGCTGGAAAGGTGGGATGCCTACCATTGAAGTACTAAGCGAAAAAGGAACCGTTGGCTTAAGATACCGTGTACACGCCAGAGCACAAGCATAGATTTACCACTGTAGTCTGCAGCTGGGAACGGACTGCGGGGATGGTTATGCTTATGGGGAAGCCCGGGGGTAAGTCCATGTATGCGATCTCAGTTTTAGAATAGTACCATAGTAGCAGTGCGACTTATATGCGGAATCGTGCAATGTTCTGAGTCACTGCTCTTGACGGTTCAATGGTGATGAGCATGGAAGCACGGCAGTATGATAATTATTTGTCTTCGAGAAGATGATGAAAAGATGTTCCTGTGTGGACTCACTGTTAATCTCAGCAAACCTGAGGGAGAAATCACTGAGAAGGGGACAGGCAGCCTGGCATCAATGCATTGCATTTGACTGCGATTTATTCTTCCGCTTCCTGAAATCGTGATATCAAAACTATTGATAACTTGATAATGGTGTTTAGAAGGTGTAATGGAAACCGGCAGGTAAAGGATAATATACAAACAGCATACTGCTGCCTTGCAGTTGAATTCCGAGTCATCATGAGTAGGCCAGCGCGGGTAGACTTCGCGCGGAATTTAATTATATCATGACGACAAGGACCGGCAGTTCCCGCAAGCTAATTAGTTAACGAACACGTGAGGTGTCGAAAGCGCATTACTAGAGTTTACCATGTCCAGTGATCACGAATTCGATGCATACGATCTTTCAGAGTTCACAGAAGAAGATCTTGCTTGCTTTGATGTTCAGACCGCAACAAAATTCAAGCGTTCACCAACCCATGATTCAGGCGAACAGACAACAGCAACGGCGAGCACCACCGATGGCAGTAGGCCAGCTACAGCTCATTCGGGTGGCCCTGCTGTTATCATCGCAATCGAACAGTCTGATGACCCTAATGTTGATGTCGTAGAGGCATCCTCCAGTCATAGTCAGAGCAACAGTAATACTCTAGGGCCTTCCGCGCTGAAGCCTTTTCAGCGTAGGACGTCATCTTTCACTTGTCGTAGCCCATATCAGTCCCACAGGGAATGGAGAGGCACCTTTTCTGTCACCGACTTGGTTGGCCCTACTTGGTGAGGCTTCTTTATGGCTTCTTCATGGTGATACCATCTGCTAGTCTGGCTTACCAATGCTCAAGGTGTGAGGTCCAATTCGACTACGGCCTACGTCAAATGAGAGACAAGCGACTTGAACAACGCCCAAAGTCATTTACCACAGGTTCAGGCAAGGTGATCACCGTAAAAGACAATGTGGCAGCTCAAAATGACCGCATAATCACAAGAGGCAAAGTTTGTAAACTACTGTCGTTTGTTGAGGGAGTAATTGTTGACTCATACTCTTTTAGTCTGTGCACAGTCAATTGGAACGTGAAGTCCACCCAGTCATTATGAAGATTATTACACAAACCGAAGAAGAACGATGGGGTTTACGGTATGTATTCCCATGCTCTTCATTGATCAGTGCTCACCACATTGCTGCAGTCTACATAATTTAACAGTCGGTTTGGAAGAGGTAGTGCACCTCGGAAAAACGGTAGTCGTCATTTTACGTCCAATAATGGTAAACTCTTATTCGTTTCGTAGCGCGAGTTACCTGTCTTCGGTATCCTGCAAAATGAAGTCGTGATCGGAGTTATTGTACGCACATTTCAGCATCGTAGTGTTTTCTCTAACAACTTTCCTCTAACAACTTTCCAGGATGAAATAGTGAAATGCATTGACAAGAAGATCATGGGTACAATTGACGCAAAACACACTACGGCGTCTCCATTTACTAGCCCTGTGAAGAAAAAACAACGTCGCACAATCTCTCCGTCCCAACCACAACTTTCCACTATATCTATCAAACCGTCGTCGTCCACAAAGCCCGGTCCTTCCGAGTACATTGATGATGAGGGCACTTCACTCGGTGACCTTACGCCCATGGAAATCCGGACGGAAGCGAGTAAGGTTCTATCACCCCAATCCTTCACCCTACATGTACTCGATACCAAGACTCGTCGCACGAACAGTCTTCCGCTTGATGGCGATACGTATGCCTCAAAATTACAGCTTATGCTCTACTTCCAACTTCTGTATTCCCTCATTTCCCCTGAAATCATGGACTTCCCGGCTCTGTGGACTCGTCTGCGTCTCAATCCTTCCCAACCCTTTTCCAGAAAGTTTATTCAAGATATAGGGTGGTCAAGTAGCGTCAGCCAGCCTACAACTAGTGTGAATCTCGACTGTTTTGTGGAACGATGGTGGAAAACGGTGCAAACAGCTAAACAGGATGCTGGCTTAAGAGGCATTGATCGGGAATTGCAAATCGTGTACAGGCCACAGCTCAAGGATACACACTCTATGCGGAAAGAAATGGATAAAGGCAAAGATAGAATGAATGCAATTGCAGTCCAAGAAGAATTCGATGTTGCGCGTGCGGTTGAGGAAAGTCTACAAGAACTCTTCGAAGCTGAAGGTAATACTAGCAAAGTCTCAACGACAATGCACAGACCAGTTATAGCTGGTAAAGGAAGTAATGACGAAAGATATCTGGAATTATATGCGAGTAAAGGAAAGGAAGAATTACCGAAACAGTTGGAAGAGGACCCAGAACTCGCCTGGGCTCTACACGAGTCTCTTGTCTCTGCTGGAAGAAAACCCGTTAGCGATGGTAAGTTTACGTTTACTATCAGCCATGCACATTTTTCTAATGTGATGTGTCGCAGCTGCAACGTACTTACAGGATTCTAATGGTATTTCCACACCTACAACGCGAAGCCTGAGCCCAGTTGTGCAAGCGGACGTTCCTGCAATAACTATACTCGGAACAAAAGAATTTAATATGGATGAAAGTATGCTCGACTCTCATCTTACTGATGTATTGAAATGGTGGCATGGCCAGAGACCTGCTAGAGGAGTGGAAATTGCCCACTCGCATAGATGCTTGTGAGTTTTCTTATTGATATCTCGGGATGATGCATACTCATTTTGATCTCAAGTACTTGTGAATACCGTGACGGATGCGAATGGAGAGAGCTAAAAGCGAATGAAGCGGCTGAAATTTTAAAAGAATCGAAAAGGACATGGAATTCAGATGCTCGGGAAATCTAGGGGTGTCCTTGATTGTGAACCACTGTCATAACGGCGGGAGCACACACTACTATCGGTCCCCCACAAGGAATCAGGAAAATGGTGAGGTGCTGATGTTATCAGACGGAGTTTATAATCCGTCTCACGTCTTGCACTCGACCATCAGGCTATATCTGTGATTATAAGGAGTAACATTGATGTAGTTGTATCAGCTTTTATGCATTATTGCCACTGTTGACATGGGTAGTTGGATAAAACGGTATCCTCGACTCTGAACAAAGTGAAGGAGGGTTCTGTCTGCCAGAAAAGTGCAGCTCTTTATCTCGCGACTTGCATGGTAACTTGCAATTATAAACTGTACAGCTCCGTGATCTACTATCAATATTTAACCAAAGCGTTAACTTTTTCCCCCTTTGAATGTTTCTAACAGTCTGATTTAAGCACCCCAAGTTGAGGTGTTACAGCTAAAACATTAATCATGATAAGTAGACCTAATTCGAAACAGTCAAACTTGCGCTTTCGCAGGCCTGAAGTCGTACTCATCCCTTTGCTGAATATTGACCTTTAAGAAAATAAAATTGGATGAAATGATGCAACTAAAGATTAAAGTTATTGCTAATACAAGCACCCTGGAGATCAAGTTTGCATTATCTAAGTGCAGACTCAAAGTAACTGAGTCAAGACAGTGCCGCTTCCAGTTGGTAGTGACCCGGAACGCAAGACATATCCCGAGCCTTACCTCGAATTAAATAACTACACACCTTCTGTGCTTTACCAGCTTTCCCCACCGACCTCTCATGCTCTCCCTCAAAGCCAAGTTGAAAACGTCATGTACGCCACTCCCTGTTTTGGCAGAACACTCGATGTATTTTGCACCTATCTCCTTTGCTACGTCTGCACCCTGTTCGGGTGTCACGGGAGATTGACCCTGCGCACCTAACATCCGTCTAGTCTGATCGTCTCTTCTCAAGTCAACTTTGGTAGCGACAAGGATAAGGGGAGTGCCTTCACAGAAGTGCGCTACTTCTGGATACCACTACGAGTGGTGCATTTGAAAGATGTTTAGATGTGACGAATTGAACCACTAACCTTATCTTGAACATTTCCGAGGCTGGCAGGAAAATCAACTGAAAATACAATGAGGATCACGTCGCTTTCGGGGTAGCTTAGGGGTCGCAACCGGTCATATTCTTCCTGGCCTGCAGTATCCCAAAGAGCAAGCTCTACAACCTTTCCATCGTAGTTAACTTGTGTCACATAGTTCTCGAAAACCGTTGGGACGTATGCCTAAAGTGAAGGCTTTGAAGCGCTTAGAAACACTGATACGACAGGGCTTACCTCAGGGAACCGATTTTCTGCGTAAACAATAAGGAGACATGTCTTTCCGCAACCACCTTAAAAAGAGGACATGGTGATGCATTTATCGCAGGGACAAAGAGAAGCCTACCGTCGCCTACAACCACGAGTTTCTTTTTCACGTCTGGTTTAAGGACAGGATTAGGTGACTGCGATGTTTGGTAGGATGTGTCCATACTGCAGTTCTCAGTCCAGATGTTAATGAAGTGTTCAAGTTACAGGCGTCACATTGTACTTGTCACACGTCACAGCTAAAGTGGCCAATTTACATGGCAGGGCGCTTACAGCTAATTACAGAACGTTAGACATGTTAGCATAGAAATCGCATACAGGCGGACTCGAAAGATAGAAATCCCGAAAGATCAGGAGACTGTATCTTAAGTCTGGTTGACGTAGCTGTGGTGGGCAGACTCTGAGATTAGCCTTAGAGTCTAAAAGAATTTACTTCCCGCTCATTCTGCTTCAACTCCGAGTGCACATTTTTCACACCGGGATGTCTAATGATCTGCAATTAGCTGTAAAGGAGCCAGTGTTACTGATTCCGGAAATGCTTGTAGAGAGACACAAGATTGACCTCAGCATGAACAAAATCACTATTAACTGAAGAGTCTACAAGTACAGAGAAAAGATGAACATACCTCAGCGTGAACAGAATCACTGAGGTTGTCATATCCATGCCACAGGCCATGGTTTCCAGAATTCCAAAAGGACAGGTCCTCAAGTCCGAACTCCCAAATCTTTGGTACTCTTGGAATTACACTCCTTGTGGACTGCTGCTTGGCAATAGCCCTATACCCCACCCCCACATGGTACTACAGATATTTTCTCCGATACTCCTGCACCAGACTTCTAGTCTGCCATACATTTTCTCTGCACATTCTCATATTCCTCATGGGTTCTGTAGTTTAGACCTGATGGTACACTCCCCTCACATATGTTTCCCTTGCTAGATAATTGTCTGCATGGAACTCCATACCTACATTGTAAGTTACTCCTTATGAACACCCATTGCCCCCATTTTGTGAATAGATTTTTAAACTGGTTATCAGTAGTATGTACTTGTATCCAGAAATGTGACTGTAATATTTATGATACTACCACTGTACCAGTGTCTCCCCAAGAGTGTGGCCCTGGTAAGGCAAATACTAGGGTGATCATGCTAATAGTATCAGAGATGACAACAAAAGTATTACCCTTGATAAATCAATCTAGGGTTGCCAATATTTGAACTGGGCAGGATTATGACCTTCTAGAAGTTTAAAAAAAGACATCTCATCAGAAGAGAAAGCGCATTTTGACAGCAATGAGCATTATTTATGGGAAGACAAGATCTATGTGCCTGAGTCCATAAGGATCAAGGCAATAGATAGATATTATGACACACCAGTGGCTGAGCACCTTGGGTGGTAATGAATAATGGTGTTGATCTCCCAGAATTACATGTGGCCTGGCATGGTCAAAGGCATACAAGAATATGTATAATGTTGTCTTTGCTGTGCCATGGCAAAGAACTCTCATCAACCACTGGCCAGTTAACTTATGCTGAGCCCAATACCAGCTGGTCCTTGGCAGGATATATTGGTTGATTTTACAACAGATCTGCCCAAATCAAATGGGTATAATTTAGTAATAGTGGTTGTGGATTGCTTCTCCAAAGAAGTGGTATTCATTCATTCCCACCAATAAAACTATCACAGCCACTGGTAGAGAATTATGCCAGATGCTGGGCATCAAACCTAGATTATCAATGGTGTTTGATCTGCAAACAGATGGACAAACAGAGAGACTCAACTAGGAGTTGAAGCAATACCTCCAAATATTTATTAATAATAGGCAGACAGATTGAGCCAAGTGGCTAAACATAGCCCAGTTCTCCTACAATATTAAACAGTTGTTGGCTACAGGGAAGGCACCATTTGAGGTCATGAGGATGTACCTGCCCAAGAATGGATGTAGAACCTGGCAAAAACAAAAATAAGGCTGCTGGGAATATGGCCAAAGAAATGAAATCTGTTTTAGATGAAACATGCAAGGCACTATTCAAAACTGCAGAGCAGATGAAAGATAGGGCAAAGTGTAGATGCTCTAAAGCCCCTGATTACAAGGTTGGCAACCTGGTCTGGGGAGATACTGACCACTTAAAATTAAAAGATTGGCAGTCTAGAAAACTAACTGAAAAGTAGATTGGCCCTTGCCAGATTAACCTAGTGCAGTGGAGCTAAAACTCCCAAAACAAATGAGGGTAGTACCCACGGTCAATATAAGCTGTTTGAAACCCTACAAAGTGTAACAACCAAGAGTTTGTTACTCTGGCGCACAACTAGAACCAACTATAGAGGTAAATGATGAGGAAGTGGTTACCCTTTAGGCTTCAACAAGTTAGTTGTGAGGATACAACAGGAGGACTCGCTGAGGAGTCTCCTTGATCTATTGGTCTATATATACTACTACAGGTTTTGTTTGTACATGTGTACTGTACAGTTTGATAGAGGCAGTGACTGATGATGTCATGGGGTCTAGCCCGTGTGACCAGCTCCACTGCATGAGAGACTTGTAGCTAAAATAAGAAGTAAGGCAGCGCAGCGTGAGAAAGAGGAGTTTGAACAAAAGGGAAAGTGCCGCATGGCATAATGTGAGAAAACTACAGTAAAAGGTTAAAGAGGAGAATGAAAATTAAAGGTCCAAAAATGTGTTATCATAACACAAAGGGCCGCTGCCAGGACAGTGTGTAGACCAGCCCAGCCTGGACTAGTAGTAGTCACCTAGGGAGGAGAAGAAGAGTTCAAAGTTGAACAGATGGTAGATGCACACTTGAAGCATGGAAAATTAGAGCTCCTGGTCCTATAGAAGGGCTATGGAGACAAGGACAGGATGTGGGAACCAGAAACACATCTGGACAATTTTCACAATGCTGTTTGCAACTTCTATTCTAAAATCCTTCAGCTCCTAGAAAGCTCAGAGGTATGGATTCAAATATTTTCAATTCCCCTTTTCAACCAATGCCCAAGAATTTAACTACTACCTCTGGTACTTGAAAGTTGAGCCTTAGGAGGGGGATGTTACAATACACAATGGGCTACACCCTATGACATCATCAGCCACTGCCTTCATCACTTCATCAACTATATAGTACATATGTACAAATAGTCTGTAGTAGTATATATACCCTAATAGATCAAGGAGACTCCTCAGCAAGTCCTCCTGTTGTATACCCACAACTAACTTGGTCCCACCTAAGGGGTAACCACTCCCTCATCACTACCTTTATAGCTTGTCTGAGTTGTGCACCAGAGTAACTAACTCTTGGTTGTTACAGATATGGGCTTCACAAGATCAGCAATTGACCGTGCAATCTTTTACTACCACATACCAAACAAATCTGTTGTATTATCCATATCTACTGACGATATTGTAATTACATCGGGCACGCTACAAGCTATCAACAACTTCAAGCATCAACTAACAAATTACTATGAAGTCTCTGACCTTGGAGAAATCAGTTGGCTGCTTGGATTCACCATAAAGTATGACCGAGAGGCTCAAACCATAGCCATATCCCAGAAAGTGTATATAGATACAATGGTCGAACACTTCGGACTAAAAGACGCAAAGCCAGCACCCACTCTGTTGGAACCTGGCCTGACTATCAGCACCGAACAATCACCAGCTACACCTAAAAAATATGACAAAATGAGCAACATTCCATACCAAGAGGCTGTAGGATGCCTCACCTGGATAGCACTTGGATCTCGCCCCAACATAGTGTTTGCTACAAACATGGTAGCAATCCTGGTAAATGCCACTGGGACACAGTCAAAAGGATTATACGCTACCTGAAGGGCACTCAAGACTCCGTTTGATATCAAATCCAGATGGCAACACTATCCTATCATACACAGATGCTGACCATGCATCTCAGAGTCACCAACACTCCATATCCGGACACGTCTCATTCTATGCTGGCTTACCCATTATCTGGGGTGCAAAGAAACAACCTATTATAGCCCTTTCAAGCACAGAATCTGAGTACATAGCCACTACCCATGCCATCAAGGAAATATTCTGGCTCCAGAACCTTGTCAGTGAATTAAGGTCACCTGTAAATGGACCCACCACACTATATTGTGACAACCAAGGAGCTATAGTGTTATCCAAGAACAACATGTTCCACCCCAGAATGAAACATATAGACATCCGGTATCACTTCATTCGCGAGGCAGTCGAAAACAATCGGATCACACTTTCCTACTGTCCCACCAATGATATGAATGCAGATATTTTTACCAAATGTCTTCCAAAGATTAAACATGATAAATTGGTTGATATGATTGGACTATGTGATGATTAAAGCGGAGTGTTAGAACTACAACAATCATACCTAGTATTAGATTACAGTATCTCCGACTTCATGATTACTATTACCACAGCCACAGCTTTGCTACATTCGTCGCATCACAGCTCTGACTACCTTAGCTCTCTGAGGCAGTCAGAACTGTGAGTATAGTTATTATGTTCCTGCATCACCTACAATACTGATCCTTCTGTAGATATCTCACTATATCTTAGGTACTTAATACAACTCTTTGAGGCAGTCAGAACTATATCTCACTATATCTTAGACTGCTAGCTCACATACTGGTCATCTAAATATTCCCCAGAGAGGATTAATGACAACTGATGTTGTGGATCACCTCGACCAATGAAACGCATTGCAGTCTCTGCCCAGATAAAGAGGCCCGCCGCACGACCTGTGAGTTGCTGAATAACCTGAGATCCTGGCCAATCAGTATTTCGTAGCGAAGAAAACCTCTTCTTTATTTCGGCGAAACGATTGTGAAAAAAGGTGTTAATATCATCTGTAGTCGTAGATGTTACTTGATCTCTGATTGGTAAGACGATATCTTGGCAGACTTCACGAAAATCGAAAGGGATGCGCTCAACTCGGCTAGCGATGATTAATTTGAACGCTGGGGGCAGCGCACCAGGCCACTGTGCGAGAGTGTCCAATAAAGCCGTTCGTTGAGACTCCTGAGAGAAATCATGGCACTCATCCGAGGCATCCACTACGATAACCGGATACCTAAAGAAAATGAAAGTAAAAGTAAAGTTCCCGATCTCCGGTGTTATTTCAAAGCCCTACCTCCTATCCTGCAGTTGCTCGTTAAAGCAGGCCTTCAAGGGTTCCACAATAAGAGAATCAAAATGATCTTCAATGTTTGGCCTTTGTGGATCAACCAAATTCACGTTGAGAGTTTTGATGATAGTAGATGCAAACTTGGGATCAGATCTGGCAAGTTGGTGCGCAATAGTGCGCCACAGAGCAGCGGGGTTGCTGAGAGCTGCATCACCTCGGCGAAAAGAGAAAAATCCACCAAGGGGATGCTTTTTCATCAACCGAGATTGTAAGCTGGAAGCGATGGCGGACTTTCCAGCGCCAGGACTGCCCTTGATCCACGGATGTTCTTCGCTGCGATGGGATCGTCAAGCCAGTCGTCAATTCTCTTGCGGATATCCTGTCGGGTATCTTCCATACATGGCTGTAGGTAGTGACGATTGTAATTAACGGGATCCAACTTCGCGAGGATTTCCTTATCTGAATGGTCAGACTGGTTGATCGCGATCTTTGTATTGTGCATATTGCGCTGATTTCCTGCGATGTCATTGAAAGTTCCGACATGAGCCTCAGCACATTTTGCATTTTGAGTAACAGGCATGATCGATGAATGGCACGCTATGGATAATGGTGTTGTTGTTGTTGAGAGGGGGAGAGTCACGGTGGATGTAGAGGTGAAGGATGGGTCCCGGTCACGTGAAAGCAATAATACAATATCATCCCACGTGAGTTGTCTCCAGCCCTAGTTTCTCCGCACCCTTTTCTTGCACTGACACTCTTACACTACTCCTGTCTGGTAAATACTCCTCCTTGCGAATCCAGCCCTTGTTGAAGCCCGACCCGTGAATAGCTGCCCAGTTACTGAAGGCGCTCCGAGCGCTCTTCTTGATATGGTGTGCTCGGACTTCTCTGAGTCCTCCTTAACTTGGCATTATAATTGACGGTATCAAGTTCTCAAGAATAACTGGTGCGTTGATTGCATATAATTCTCGGCCCTGTTGAAGACGCAGGTAATAATATCATAGGTGTTAAAACTCAAATCGTCTCTTGCATTAAGCGTAAACATAACCATGTCTCTACAATTTCCAAACGAAAACCTTCTCTTTACAAACTCCTACAGAATCTCCAGGTTACCTATAGAGATCTGGCATGAGTGCTGGAGCCATTCCGACAGAGACGACCTTCGCCGGTTAGTCTCAGTATGCCGACTCTTCCGTCAACTGTGTCGGAAGCCTCTCTTTCGCACACTTCGTTACATCGGTCCAGATCTTTCTAACGTGACAGAGAAATCACTACAATCAGAGCTTATTAGACTCCAACGTTCCGTGACTCGGTTTCGTACCTTCAAACAAGATCCCTGCGCCCGTGAGTTACGAGGCATGGTGGAGGAATTCCAATTCACAGGACTGGTGGATCATATCAATATATCAGACAGTGGTTACTTTGACCACGCCATGACAGAGATCATGGAGGATGCCGATAGCGTTTTGATAGCACTCACTTCCATGGTTCCGTTCTGTCCCAACCTTCACCGCGTCAAAATCTCATGGTCGAATATTTACGATGACTTGTTGGATTCACTGGTGTCTCTACCTAAACTCGACACTCTCCATTTTGACGACTGCGTTTTCACTTGTAGCACAAGTCACTCATTGTCTATGAAAGTTCTCAGTGTCACTGCCACAAAATCATTCTTTTCTCGGTCTTGGACTCCAACGTTAACAATTGTAACTCCTGCTCGCTTGACGACTCTTACCCTGGACGATGACGGTGTGGGTCATTGTACCGAAGCTATCTTATCTTCCCTAACATCTCTTGGAACATTCCATCAGCTCACACATCTCTCCATATTCCTGGAAATGGAATTCTGTGCATTATTTTTCACAGTACTTCGTGCAACGCCTTACCTCCTCAGTATCTCGGTGCGAACGAATTGTAGATCTGTTATCATCCCTCCACACTCCAATGCTCTACCCTCTCAAGTCATTCCCTTGCTTGCGTCGTACGAAGGGCCGCCTAATCTAGCGGGTTTGTTCATCAATGGGCGTCCCGTTACAAGTGTAAAACTTCGTCCACTCATTGACACTCGTACCGGCGTCGTGTACTCTAGTATTCCCACCGCTGAAACTACATCGTCATTGTCCCAGCTTTCCAGTTCTTCCGCACCACTGCAGGACTTGCGGATATATGGGCTAACACCAGGTATCGAGCCTTTTTATGCCATCCGTGCTAGCCTTCCTGAGTTGAAGTGTCTGGACGTCGCCCTGGGATACTGTGATTTTCAAACCGGTGATGATAATATCTTGGTGTCCCCAGAAAGCGAACTTGATGAATCCAGTGTTCCTGTACCAGACTGCCTTACTCTCGAGGTCTGTTATTTCATCCTCTGGTTCCAATGGGAAACTCATTACTTTTCTTGCAGAACATTGTGAGCTATCTTACCACTGGCAAAATTTTACTTCCACCGAATCTCGAAGTGTTGCGAATACGGTTCACTGAAACAACACCCTCTCTTTCTAATGAACTAACTTCTGCATGTGACGAAAAGGCGAAAGAACAAGAGATCATAAACACGCTCTCACAGAAGTATACTCGTCTTTGCGAGGTATACTTTGGTCAGAGCCTCTGGCGTTGCGACTGTCGGCGTGGATTTTGGCTATCTACTTCAAGTTATGGGTACACTGGATGTGAAGACTGGTGGCGCAGATGACCTTGTACCACTCCCTATGTATACAACACCTCTCTATCTCTATCTATCGCAATGTAGTCGTAGCCCTTCTTGTATCATAAAGACCAGTCTACTTCTCAGCGCAACTCAAAATGTACGAAACCATTAATGTACTGTTACACAAAAATGTTTACTCCGGAGGCCAGGCGAATGTTTTAACTATAAGCATTGTACGATACAACAGGAACAGACAGGCTGATGTATTGCGATCTACCTTCTATCCGACGCAATAGCGTTATTCAACGAAGTGTGACAAGTTCTGCAACAGAAGACGTCAGCAAAGAACGCAGATAAAAGGAAGAGACACACCTTCAGCGGAAGTAGGATGAATGGCTACGGTATCATCCAAGTCGGCTTTGCGAGCTACAATGACCAAACACCCCGTCAGCCGTGCTCTCAGACGTCTTTATGATGTTTCCTTACCGCCCATCTTCACAGCGACAGCGAAGCCTTGTAAAACCTCGTCGCTTCCTTGTCCGATGATATGTACACCTACAACCTTCTCTTCTTCGCCAACTACAATTAATTTATACACCGTAGGTTCTTTGTGGTCTTCGTCAACCATAGAGAAATAGAGACCGCGGAACGATGATTTGTCTGGATATGGAAATGAGAGCCTGACAATAAAATGGAGAAAACAAGACTCACAAACTTTAACTGCATCGCCATACTTCTCGCGTGCCTCAGGTTCAGTGAGACCAACGGTACCGATGGTAGGGTGTCTAATGATCAGTCAGCCAGGCACTCGCACATATGATTGGCGATTGACAACTTACGAGAATACCACAGTTGGAATATCTTCGTAGGATAGTTTATCATTCTTAAATTTCTCGGGTCCAAACAGCCTATTTGATAGCCTTCTCCCAGCCGCGATGGCCACAGGCGTCAGCAATGCCTTTCCTTGCACGTCGCCGATCGCCGTGATACCCTTGACATTGGAGTTCTGGAACTCATCCACGACAACATCACCCTTTTTGTCCAGTTGAATCTGGAGTTCCTCAAGTCCCAAGTTCTCGGTGTTCGCATGACGCCCAATTGCCCAAAGGACGCAGTCTACTTCTATTTTCTCGCCATTGTCCTTGTGTACAGTGAGCGTCTTTCCTTTTTCGCCTTCAACCTTGATAACCTTGCTGTTCTTGTGCAGTTTAACGCCTGTGTGTTCCATCCATGGCGTCAAAGTATCCTGTAAAATCGGGTCGAAAGTGCGCAGAACTTTATCGCGGCGAATGATCAAATGTGTCTCCGAACCAAGCGTGTGTAAGACACCCGCAAGCTCTACCGCGATGTATCCTGCACCGACAACTGCGACGCGTTTAGGCTGATCCTCAAGGTCGAAGAATCCATCGGAATCAATCCCAAGTGCAGCACCGGGGATTTGTTCCTCAGTGGGTATAGTAGGGCGACCACCAGTGGCAATACATATGTTGTCAGCACTGAGTGTATATTTCTCGCCATCTGGCCGTGTTACTTCAACCGTGTTAGTCGAAACGAGTCGTGCAAATCCAGCGTGGTATTCAACTTTCTCTTTTTCAAGATTGTTCTCGTATATCTTGTTCAGGCGGCGAATATAGGCGTCGCGCTGGGGTTTGAATGTGGACCAGGAGAAGCTGGGCTCTGGGACGCCCTGGAAATGGTAACCTGCACTAGCATGGCGCATTTTGTCGGCGAGATCGGCGGCATGCCACATGATCTATAAAGCGAGGTATTAAGTACCTGGTAGAATCACAAGAATAATTTGCCGCACCTTCTTTGGAACACATCCTAATACACCATATCAGTTATTCGAGACTTGACATGAATACATGATACGCACCGACGTTGACACATGTGCCTCCGAGGTGAGGAGATACCTCGATAAGCGCGACTTTCTTACCATAAGACGCTGCTCGTCGCTATACGGCTAAGAGTCAGCGAAGCGCAGAAATAAGGTCAGGTGGAACTCGCCGACGAAGCCACGCCTCCACTTCCTCCGCCAATGCAGATGTAGTCGTACTTTTCGTGCGTGGGTTTATCTATTGGGGCCATATTTGTAATACTAGATTTCGAAAAAGCTCTAGTTATCTATAGACAACCCTAGTTCATACTATGCACCAGACAAATGCAAGACACGACATGGAAACAACGCACTTGAAAAAGCCTGACGGACGGTGATGAGCTCGTCGTTTGGTATGATGCGAATTTCGCTATCGATAAAGAAGAAAGAACACGAGACGCCAGGATTGCAGATTATCGAGTTTGGTATTTATAATAACTTAAAGGTCCCTCACAGTGATGACCTTATATCGATTCCTCCCTTCACTTGCACATCTTTGTAATCTTATTCGTCATTTCAAGTCACATGACCTTCATTTCAGCACATATTATTGTCAGAAAATATGGTGTGCTTGGTACGAGGATAGTAAAACCGAGATAAACCACCGGGATTGGTAACAGAGTGGATTTTGATTCCATGAAGCATTACCAATGGTGGTACAGCCAAGGTTCCATCATGTAACTCTTCCGTTCCCCGATTCCCCGATCATCAGTTACTTTCACGCGAATTGGCCTTTTACAAGTCCCACCAGTATACCCACTCCTGCTTTCACGCCATCGATAATCATGATATTTGATCCTTCAATTCCACCAAGTTCGTCGATACAAGCCTGACGGATCATATCCTGCAGCCCAGCCATAGCAGCGCACCCGAGACAAATTGCCTCAAGTTGGTTGTTGGAACGTATGAGCCGCTTCGTAGCATCTGCGATGCGTAGTTGAACTTTTTCAGCAGGAGTTTCGTGAAGTTCTATAGCATCCAAACCAGTAGTTTGGACACCTGCAAAACGACTGCAACGTGCTGCTGTGTCATCCCTCGGTACGCCAAGCATATCATAAACTCCTTCCCTCAGTAGTTTCTCCCATATGTACCCTGTAGAAACAATACCGAATGTTCCATTCGATCCTATAAGCTGCAAGCATGTTGTGATGCTTGCCTCGAATATACCAACGACCGGTTTACGCGTGCGCTCTTTCAGTAACTTCACAAGAGGATGGACGCTGTAGCATGCGACCAGGAACCCATCGTGTGTATCGATCAGCCTCTTGAGATGAGGGAGACTGTGTTCGGCGCTCTTGAGTGCTGTCTCATTATCATTTATACTCGGAGGTCCTGACGGACTTGTGAAGAATGTGAAGGCTGTCTACATTACCTACTCATAATCAGCAAGATACTAGATGACCACCTGGTGTGCTTACGTCGGAATACTCGAGGCTAGACACAATAGGCTTAAGCTGATTTGTCATATATTCCGTAGTGTTTGGATTGACGATCAGCACCGATATCTTGGCCATTGAGGACGGACGAATCTAAATGAAAGGGTACCACGCTGCGCCACCCGCAACAAGTATACATCCTCACTTCGGGTCAGCCCGGTTGTGAACACTTCCAGCTAGTCTCCTATCACGAAAGAAGAGTCGTTCCATTATATTCCACCTGAGACCGTATCAGTCTTCAGATGGGGTTTATATGTAGCACTGCGGCCAATGGATGCTATCCAAAAGAACCTGTTTTGCCTGTGTGAGTAGATAATCAAAGCGACTTCTGGTCGGTTCTAAGATGTCTGACGAGAAAGAAGTATCAGTTCTAGATTTATAGTGGTCAAGAGTGTTCATATGACCAGAAGGCTATGATAAAATCTACCAAAATAACTTGCGCCCTGCACAACAATACCAAAGGCTCTGCTCAACGAATCATGATACGTCAAGGCTATGTATACTACATAGACAGTGGGTGTATAAACCATACGACTTCGACGATTGCGCAACATTGCGCATAGTTAATTATGTCAGAATATTGTAGATATCATCCATTCAGTTATAATTTGTTTTGGGGCACTGATAATACTTATATATCATACGGGCTATTGCAATGCTGCGCAGTATATAGACCCCCTTGTTGTGTCGAGACTGAGTAGCTGGGAGATTTAGTTCCTATTATCTTCCATCTTGTCAAGATGTCATTAACCTCGGGCTTCATCCCTCCTGCAGAGATGAAGGAGCTAGAGTTATATCTAGTGAATCATGCCACAGTTCGTTACAATATTGGTGAGAATTCACTTTATTTTCATTCTTTGCCTTGCATCCCGAGACTCATGTTTACAACCTCTAGTCGCCGCCACGGCCTTTTATACCTATGATTTCCGTGAGTGATAATGCAGTTACTCAGAGAATAAGTAAGGTCTGACTTGTTGTTCCAGTGCTGACATACGGCGATGAGGTGAGCAATTTTAATTTCCTGAAACACTGTGCTGCTGATCAAGTTAACGGGATGTGTTAGGTAAATTTTGTATGGGTACGTGAACGGGGTTCAGAGAGGCGGGTACGAATAGTGGCCATAAAGGCACTTTTCTTCATTGTAAGGATCACTACTTTGGTATGATTGGTGATATTCTTATTATCGTCAGAGCCGCCATGTCACGTTTGTCTCTATCGTCACTTTCGCCTCCTGTACGTTTTTGTCAGATACGTCTACGTCACTTTTAATAACTTCAAATGCAGTGAATCTACTTCCTGCTAGTTTACTTTCAACGCCTATGTAAGCTTGAGCCATTTTATATTATATTAACTTATTATCTAATGATTTTAAGACAGATGTAAGAATGAATCGTATGGTAATGGTAATGCGCTTACATGCAATAAATAACATTGTGTCACTATGGCTCACAGGCTTTACAATCGAAATGTACACTCTTACTGGTATGTGTTCATTTGCACATTGTACGCTGGTGTGGCTGACAGCAGACTTTCAGGCATCATATTGATGTTTCCTGTTGAAGGTTTATGTTTACAAATATCATGCTGCTACAGTAAACTGAATATATTTGACATAGCCATTCTCCAATTGCGACTTTTTGCTCTATATAACTATGGTACGAAGATTTTACTATACAAATTTTTCTATCTTAAAAAATTCACATAGACAAATGGATAACAATACCTATGGTTACATTATTCATTATAATGGTTTGTTCCGAGTTGGGGATCGCCAGCTTTTTCGTATACTATGACAATCGTATGTTTCAGTCTCTTTCTAAAAACTGAAGTCTTGACATATTGAGGGTAGTAAGCCTTTCTGACATTGTGGGGTCTTTTGACGAGACTTTAGGAATTTGTGCAGGTCGTACACCTAAGTGGGTTGGTGCCTTTTTGTGAGTGCCCAAGTTAGAGCCCTGCGAATACCTTAATACCGTATGACTAATGGATATGCTCAGCATTCCACTCATGGTCTTCGACTGCATATTGTTCGCTCTGGCAATGTTCAAATCATATCAACATTATCGCCAGGTTCCTGATAAGAACTGGCCCGGCGCGAGTGTGATCAGAATCCTGACGAGGGATTCGTTTGTATTCTTCTTGATGTACGTGCTCATAAACTGCGAGAAATCAAAATCTGATTTTAATCACTCCCAAAGCAATTTTGTCGTGTTTCTTATTGCTACTGCGGCATACTCAACAGGCGATAACTACTTGTTCCTAGGAATAGGCAGTTGGCAACTGGTGATCCCGCCCATCATTGCTGGGCGACTGGTTATCAATATTCGCCGATTTTATCTCGAACCAGACCCCAATGTCTCCAGCTTCGATAGCACTAGCAGCATTGAATTTGCGGATCTCCGGAGACGAGCGCCACTACAGGATAGGGACCATTCGTGATGTATCCATTTATTATCGTTGATAATAGATATTAATGCCTGTAACTTTTCACATGTGCAAGAAGCATCATAGAATCCAAGTGGCGGTCCCTACTGTCCGGCGCTTTCGACTCAGCGAAGTCAACTATGAAACCGATTTTCTTGAAGTCCGATACTTTGTACTAGTAGACCCAACGTACTCTAGAGCTGTTGTCTATGTTATTGATATAATCCAAAGCTTACCAGTGTGCTGTGATGATAAGTGATCCCAAGATAAATGTGGGTTCCAAAATTCAACACGTAGACTGTTGTACTAACCTCGTAGACTCGCAGCTACTTACTGCTAAACATGACATGGGACTTGATGAAATTTCACGCACTGGTATGCGGTCGCAAAAATCGGTTTTAGCAGCAGCCTTTTGCACGTTTTCAGGCCTGATGGATTCCTTATTTGACCCGGTCTGGCCATGTGTCAGAGTACGAAAATGCATGAAAAGGTGCCAAAGGCTGCGAAAAGCCTATATATGGTAAAACTGATTTTTGTTTTAAAAACAAGTGTCGTTTTTGCCCTTCAACATTCAACCTGAAGTTGGTAACACTGGCACTTCAAGCTTCCAGGACGCATCAGTCGTCAGGTTCTGTTTATATGTAACGAGGGACGTATGCAAGTGTGAGTAATTGATCAAAGCAGTTGCTGGTCGAGAATGATGTATGTATCAGTTCTAGATTTTTAGAGGTGCGAGTCAACGCTCTCCATTTGATCAAGTTTCGATCAAGTATGGTAGCGGTCAGACATGGTAGACCAATATTAATACAACTTATGAACCGTGCAAACATGTCGAACTTCCTGGGCTCTGCTCAACGACATGAATCAAGGCTATGTTGTATAAACTACACGAGCTCAACAAATGCAAATGTTTAGTTATATCATGATATTGTAGACTTCGTCCATTCAACTATGATTTGTTTCGTGCACTGATAGTACTGATATATCATACAGGCCGTGGCAATGGTGTTTTGAGGTGCGGTGCTGACCAGTATATAGACCCCCTTTCTTGTGCTGGGACTGAGCTTCCACTCGGAGATTTAGTTCCTTCTGGTTTTATCTTTGTCAAGATGCCAGTAACCTCGGGCTTTATCCCTCCTACAGAGATGAAGGAGCTAGAGCTATATCTAGTGAATTCTGTCACGGTTCGCTACAGTGTTGGTAAGACTTCACTTTATTTTCATTCTTTGCCTTCCATCCTGAGATTCAATTTGCAACCTTTAGTCGCTGCTACAGCGTTCTATACCTATGATTTTCGTAAGTGATATATACTAGCCTTTATAGGGAATGAGGTCTGACTTGTTCGGTTGTTCCAGTGCTGACGATCAGCGACGAGGTGAGCAATTTCAATTCGGAACGTCGTGTTGCTGATTAAGTGGACGAAATGTATTAGTTAAATTTTATATGGGTACGTGGACGGCGCTCGGAGAAGCGGGTACCCGCTATAAAAGCACTTTTCTTCATAGTAAGCCTTACTGCTTTGGTCTGGTTGGTGATTTTCTGAGCATCATCAGTGCCGCTATGCTACGTTTGGCTCTATCGTCACTTACACCTCATGTGAGTTTTTGTCAGATACGTCTATTACTATTTGGCTTACAATAACTTCGAGCTCAGTGAGTCTGGTGCCTCCCAGTGAACTTTCAACGCCTATGTGAGTTTTTGACTTTGAGCCATTTTGTATTAGCCTGTTTTCTAATGGTTTTAAGACAGATGTAAGCATGAGTTGTTTTATCAATACGTTTACGTGCAGCAAGTAATAATGTGTCACTATGGCTCGCAGGCTTTACCATTGAGATGTTCGCTATAATTGGTATGTATACCCACACGTACCCACGTGAAAACTGAACACTGTAAGCTTACGGCTGAATTTTCAGGCGTCATATTGATGTTTCCTGTCGAAGGTTTCTGTTTACGAATCCTATGCCGCTACAGTAAACTGAATATATTTGACACAGCCATTCTTCAATTACGACTATTTGCTCTATATAACTATAGTAGGAAGACTTTCCTATACAAAATCCTTCAGTGTATGACTTAAAATCCAAACAGATAAATGGGTTACAGTCCCCGTCATTACGCTGTTCACTATGTTGGTGATTTCTGAGTTGGGGATCTCCAGCTTTCTCGTATACTATGACAATTGTATGTTTTAATCTCTTTCAAAACTAAAGTATTAACCTGCTGAGTATAGTACACCTTTCGGACATTGTGGCGGCTTTATACGAGACTTTAGGGGTTTGTACAGGTGGTACACCTAAATGGTTCAGTATTTTTTTGTGAGTGCTTTAGTTAGAACCCTGCGAATATGAGCTTACGGCCATGCTCAGGATTCCATTCATGGTTTTTGACTGCATCTTGTTCGGTCTAGCAATGTTCAAATCATTTCAACATTATCGCCAGGTTCCTGATAAGAACTGGTCTGGCGTGAGTGCCCTCAGAATCCTTACGAGGGATTCATTTGTATTCTTCTTGATGTACGTACTCATAAATTGCAAGAAATCCAAAACTGATAATAATCACTCCTAAAGCAATTTCATGGTGTTTCTTTTTGCTACTATAACATACTCAACAGGCGATATATACTTGTTCCAAGCGATAGGCGGCTGGCAACTGGTGATCCCGTCCGTTATTGCTGGGCGACTGGTTATCAATATCCGCCGTTTTTATCTCGAGCCAGACCCCAATATCCCAAGCTTCGATAGCACTGGCAGCAGCATTGAACTTGCAGAACTCCGGAGACGAGCGCCACGAGGGGGTGGGAACCATTTCTGATGGATTCTCCATCGCTGATAACCGATAATAATATCTGTGACTTTTCACATTTGCAATAAGCATAAAATCCAAGTGACTGTACTGTCCGGCGCTTTCGACCCAGCGGGGTTAACCATGGAACCGATTTTCTCTAAGTCTGATATTTTTCTAGATCCAATGCACTCTAGAGCTGTTGTCCCATATCATTGATATAATCTTAAACTTACAAGTTGCTGTGGTGAGAAGTTCTGAGATAAACATGGATTCCGAAATTCAACATGCAGACTGCTATACTAACCTCGTATTGGAGTGAGATTTTCCTAGTAACGTAAATAGATAATGCCCTCGAGGGCTCCAATATTGTGTTATGACTGTCAAAAATACAACTTGAGCACAGACAGCTTAGATTCAAGTCTGTGAGTGCAACTGTGTCCCCTGAATACAATCAATATTTCATTCAGAGCAATAGAGGACCTGTCAACATCCAACTCTTACTTCATCAACAAAATCTAAAATATTTGATAAAGTCATACCATGGCTTTATAAAGGCAATAAAAATCAAAATAACTGTAATTATTACAACCAACATTGTGAGACCTTGTAATGTACATGTCAGTGACCAGAAAATCTAATAATGAGACAAAAACAAGATTTATTGGCTGATTTTTCTACAGATATAAAGATCTTCACAAAAAAATCATCATTTTCAACAGCAATAAAACAGCAAAATGATGACGCCTCCTTCACAGTTGCTTACACTGGGTGCATAGCCAAATATATACATGAGAAAAATCTGGAAAAAAAGCTTGAAAACAAAAATACGTTTTTCAAGATATTTCTCCCATAACTATTTTTCTTTTCAAATGGATGGCTCTTTGCATCATCCAAATGGTGAACAC